CCAACAAGGCCCTGCTGTTGCAGCGGTTTCGCTTGCCGGACGCGGAGTGTCGTGAGTTGGCCGATGATTTCCGAGGCGTTTGTATCGACGTACCTGCCCTTCCACGACCGGCTTGGCCGCCAACGACTGCACGCGATTGCCATCTGTCGTTGCCGTGCAAGCAGGCCCGCTTCATAGGCGTACACAATCTGCGCCGCCTCATAGGATCTTCAAATTAGCTAACCTAACTGGTTCCGAATCTGAGGTTGGCCCCCAAGCCCTCAACGACGCGGTGCGCCTTCATCAACCAGCGTCAATCCAGATTGCGGGCGAGGCGTTCGTCGGCAGCTTATCGCCTCGACCTTCTTTTTCACCTTTAGACGATACCTGTGTGTGCCAGCATTGCACTTCCGCGCCGTCCCATTTGTCCGTCGGTTGTAAATGGCAGAAAGCCTACGGATGACAATCGTGCCGCTGCTATTGCTTGTCAAGCATTGCGATCGATTGCGGGGCCCTGCGACTGCTATCCAAGTTGCTGTCTTCCTCCATCCTGCGTGACATTGTGATTTCTGACTGTGATCCTGGGCTTTTGGTTTCCAGCGGTTCTCAACCCGTCAGTAACTTGCAGCGGGTTTGCTCGGCATTGGGGATGAGAAGAACGTCTTCCTCCTCCGTCCGATAGATGAATGCTCGAGTGCGATGATGCCCCCTCTTCGTTGCAGATTAGGCAGTAGCTGGGCGCGGGAAGCGGCATGTGAATTGCGCGACGCTGGAGCACTTGCCGGCATTAGCAGGTGTGCTTGCGGCTCGCGCCGCCCTGCCTTTTTTATCTCAGCCGTGCCATGTGCCGACACAACCTTCTAATCAGGCCTACGCTGCTTCGGACAGCCCATCGTCCCCTGTAATTCATGACTTCGTCCTGAATGGTCACTCGCCCATCCCGCCGAACGGCACGACTGCGCTTCCGCCGCCGATCGAGACATGGGTGTCGTAGAGTAGGTTCGCCGGCTTTTGAGTTCGGTAATTCTTCGCTATGGTGAGCTTTAAAAACTATAGAAGAAATCAATGTTGGCGTACGTCTATATGCCCATTATAAGCGCAGTTAGTAGCCCGTCTGATTTGTGAAAGGGCATCAGACGTCACGACAATTGTGTGCACTGACCAAAATTCGGATTGGAAAGAGTCTTTGGTGTGATCGTCCAATTGCAGAACTGGGTTGTCCTGCTGAACATCTTAAAACTAAAAACGGTCTAGCCAACTTACTTGAATTCTGTCGCGTCATGTTTGCGTATAACTGGTTACAATGCCCCGAAGTTGCAAAGCTTCGCTTCGAACTGCCGTTATGACTTGGTAATGATAGGTGGGTGGTCTATGGTAGGGTTGATGATGTCATTGTTGGATTGGGTTTAATGGTTGGTGATATAGAAATTCCTTGGTGTTTTCGTTATTTGTGGGGGTTTGGATGATTTGATTCTAGGTGATTATGTCTGCTCTTCCTTTTGGGATTGGTCTGGGTGCGTACTCTTAGAGAAAGGATTGTGATTCTTGGTCTTATTCGTTATTCTTTACTTTTGCTGATTGTTTAGCTGTCCTAGGCTTACTTGTTTTTATTTCCTCCTATTGATCGTTTTTCTTCTGCTTTTTTACTTATACCAATTCCTTGTTTTGTCGTTAGGCTGCTTTCTATGTGCTTTTTTCTTTTCGTTTCTTTCCTCTTCTGCTTTTTCTCTTGGGTCTAGTTATCCTTATTGTCCTTTTATTGATCTTATTGCTCTCACTCTCTTTTGCTTCCTTTCTAGTTCTCCCCCTGACGTCCCGGGCCGAGTCGAGTCCTACGCATAGAGTGTTAAGGAATACGTTGTGTCCCGCATCCCGGCGCCCTCCAGCTTCTGCATTTCCCTTTTGCCCAAATCGTCGGCGGCCCGCCGAGCTTGCGGAATACCCACCCTTCGAGTCCGATGCTGCCCATCCTCGTCCGGCTCTCATCAGCGTAGGCGTGGAGATTTTTCACCCTAAGTGCTTGGCGCGGTCATCGGGGCGTCCGGTGAGAAATCCAGCCGTCTGCGATGTTGACGATGCGGCGAACGTACGGTCTGAGCTGCCCCCGAGCCATCCGGTATGGGGCCTGCACCTCGGCATGGGAAGGATCCTCGTCTGTAATCCTGTGCCAGCGGCCCACGTAGTGATGAGTTCGTTATTCCAAGTTGGCGCATAACTCAATCCTCTCTTCGGAGCGGCGCCCCTGTTGCGCCACTTCTCATTGAGACCCTCGAACTCCCACATGGTTCCACCAACCCCACCACCTACCGCCTATGCCTATCGCAGTGTCTGCCCCCTGATCACGTCAACGCGGCGCTTGCTTCGCTACTATCACCACCGTACTGTCGCTGCGGCATAATGATAGACTGCCGGTGGCAATTTCTACTCTGCTGGTTTATGCAGCGAGTAGCCGAAGAGCACGAAGGGTTCATGAAAGGTCGGTTGTGAGCGGTACGGACCTGTCTGTCGGTATGCGTCTCTTCGTTGCGGCCGAGCACATGGTCGATTGGAGCAGGAAGTCGAAAGAGCCCAGCGACTCCGATTGACATCTGCGCGAATTCGCGATTGAACCTGTGTCATTTGCCATATCTCGGTCTGTTGGGACTACCAGCTCCAATCTTCACTTATTGCGAACCTCCAGCACATTCTTCGTGGTTCGGTTTGCAGTTATCGATGTCAGTGTAACATACGAATGGAAGCTCTAACGACCGACAGAACATGCTTGCAGAATTGGATGGACGATATGGGTCGAAAGTACACAGACTTGATATTGAGCGGTGTGGAACCGTGCTAGACCGGCGCGCATGGCTTTGTTGAAGATGCTGGTCAGATGTGTGGTCGTGAAGGCGGGGATGATGCGCGCGGCGTTGTCTCGGGGCAGGTAACTTGACCCATTCTGTCGACGGCGAGAATTATCGATGTAAGTCAGGTCGGCCAGTGGGTGTCATGCCTGTACCAGATTGATACGCACGCGCATGTGCTGGACTGGCCGCGCGCGAAATCTGGGACCCTGGCTCTAGGCTAACACGCGACGCTTGCTGGCGGCTGGCACTCTTGGACGACGTCGACTGGACATGGGCGCACAGGTCTAGCCTCGGGAATCTGCATCAAGCTCAGAGGGGGCCGCACTGAATTAGCCGTGCTGTACAGACCCTTGATTCCAGGGCCCTACCCCCCACAAAAAAAACACCCCCCCCACAACCACCCCCCACCCAAACCCCCCACACACAAACACCCCCCCCCCCCCCCCACACACACAACCCCCACCACCAAACCCCCACCCCCCCCCACACAAACAACAAAACAAAAAAACCCCCCAAACAAAAAACATTGGGCCGACGGGTGAGCCGTCGCCGGTGGAGGCACGAGACATCGTTGCTGGCGCGCTGGCGGCAGGGATGCTTTGGGCATCAAGATACTTGGCGGCTATCATCCGTTCAGCCCGCAGGCGACTTCGGACGTGATTCACGCCTGCAACGACCAGCAGGCTTATGTCGCGTTTCACATTGGCACGCGGGAGTCGGGCAGTCATCTGGGCGGCGTGCGCGAGATACCGCAGTTGGTGGGCAACGGGCGGCTGCACGTCTGCCATGTGAACTCGTACTGCCGGGGAGTTATCGAAGAAGCCGATGAGGAGTGCGACGAGGCACTGGCGATACTGGAAAATATGAGCGGACAGCTGAACTCGGAGGTTTACCACGCGATACAGAACGGGACGAGCGGCAGCTGTGACTCTGACGGGAATGTGCAGGCGAATGTGCCGCGCAACTGCCTGGCGATGCGTGGATACGCGCCGACCCGCGAGGGAATGGGGCAGGCAATACTTGACGGTTATGCCTCAGTCATCGGCCAGCGCGGCGGGCATGTGGTGTACCTGAAGGGCAAGGAGGCACTGGTGCTGTATGAGAGCGCGAATACGCAGGTGGGCATGAGCTTCCCCGTGAACCTGCCGTCCACTGCGTACAAGCTTACTACTGCAAAGAACGCACAAGGCGAGTTCATAGTGAACGCGGTCAGCACGGACGGCGGCTGCCATCCTCGAAATGTGGCAATACAGTCGAGCATGGCGCTGGTGAAGTTCAATGCGCTGACACCCCTGGAGATGGCGACGAAGCTGTCGTTGACCCCAGCGAGAATGCTGGGACTGCCGAACAAGGGGCATTTCAGTGAGGGCGCGGACGCAGACATCACGGTCATCAATCCGGAAACGAACGAACCGGCGATGAGTTTCGTGGCTGGCAAGCCAATCATGATTGACGGGCATGTGGTGGGCAGCAGCGGGACACTGCTGGTCACCGCTGCCGGACGTCGCGCTGCAGATGCGAGTGGATTGCCATACCAGGTTGTGGATATGGCGGACAGCAAACTCTACGCGGCTTAGAACGGGCGGTAGCGGTTTGCGATGGGCATGCGGCGGTCGCGGCCGAAGTTTCGAGGCGTGATTTTGATTCCGGGGGGAGACTGGCGGCGCTTGTACTCGTTGCGGTCAACGAGAGTTATGATGTGTTTCACGATGTCGGGGTCGTAGCCCATTGCAACGATGTCGTCGAATCCATAGTCGTCTTCCACGTACGCCTTGAGGATGGGGTCCAGGACGCTGTACGGCGGAAGGGAGTCTTCGTCCTTCTGGTCCGGGCGAAGTTCGGCGCTGGGTGGCTTGTCTATGACGCTCTGTGGTATGACGGGCTTCTCGCCGATGGTGTTGCGGTATCGGCATAGCTCATAAACGAGTTGCTTGGGGACATCCTTGATAACGGCGTATCCTCCTGCCATGTCGCCGTAAATCGTTGCATATCCGGTAGCCATCTCGCTCTTGTTGCCGGTGGTGAGGACGAGCCAGTTGAATTTGTTCGAGACAGCCATTATCAGGTTGCCCCGTATGCGGGACTGCACGTTTCTTCGGCGACACCTGGCTCTGTCCCCTCGAACTTTGGCGCGAGAGTGCCGAGGTAGGCGTTGAAGGCGTCCTCGATTGGGAGTGTCCAAAGCTCTATGCCCAAGTTGTCGGTCAGCGCCATTGCGTCAAGGATGCTGCCTTCGGACGAATAGCGCGAAGGCATTGCGAGGCCTACCACGTTGTCGCTGCCAAGAGCATCTGCCGCTACTGCGGCGACAAGCGTGGAGTCTATGCCGCCTGATAGGGCGATGAGCACCTTGCCGAAGCCGCACTTCCGTACATAATCGCGCGTGCCGAGCGTGAGCGCGGCATAGACTTCGGCTGTCTCGTCGAGCGGCTGGGGCGTCGCATGTGTACGGGTCGTTGGACTGAATCGCGGGCTTGGCGGTGTTCTCAGCGTAGTCTGATACGGCGACCTGGATGGGCTTGCCGATGTGGGCGAGGTCGGTGGCGCGTTCCTTGCGGGTGCGCGGGTCTCGCAGGCGGGAACGGAAAACCGCTTCGACTTCGAGGTCGGCAATGAGAATCTGCTCCTCGAACTGGCCCGCCCGAGCTACGACTTCGCCGTCGGGTCCGAAGATTATGCTCGCGCCGTCGAATACCAGCTCATCCTGTCCGCCAACCAAGTTCACATAGGCGACGAATAGGCCATTGTCAGAGGCGCGGGTTGCCAGCATCTTTTCACGGAAGGCGCGCTTTCCTGCGTGGAAGGGTGAGCCGTTGATGTTCACGATGAGTTCGGCGCCGGCGGCTCGCTGCACAACTGCGGGGCCGGTGGCATACCAGATGTCTTCGCAGATGTTGACGCCAACTGGCGAGCCGTTGACGGTATATACAGGACATTCGCTTCCTGCCGCGAAGTAGCGGTCTTCGTCGAAGACGCCGTAATTGGGCAGGTACATCTTGCGGTAAGAGCCGACAATCTCGCCGTCGTGGATTAGGGCGGCTGCGTTGTATATGTCGGTGTCGGCGTCTATGTATCCGACTACGGCGGCGATGTCCCTGCATTCGGCGGCAATCAGGCCGAGGCGTTCGCGGTTTTCTCGAATGAACTGGGGCTTCAGCAGCAGGTCTTCAGGCGGGTATCCGGGGAGCGCGAGCTCGGGGAAGGCGATGAGGTCTGCGCCGAGGGCGCGGGCTTCGTGGATGCTTGTAATTATGCGCTCGGCGTTACCGTCGAAGTCTCCGACGGTAGCGTTCATCTGTGCCATTGCCAGTCTGAAGGTGCGCATGGTTGGTGTCAGGAGTCAGTTATCGAGGCTGACATCGGTGGACAGGATTCACCCCCATCCTAACCTTTCCCCATCGAGAGGGGAGGGACTATGCTGCTAGAGAGCTTGGACGAAACGATCGATTCTGCGGAGCGCTTCTTCAATGTTTTCGACTGAATTGGCGAACGAGAAGCGGACGAAGCCATTGCCGTACTCGCCGAATGATTCGCCGGAAAGACAGGCGACGCCGGCCTCTTGGAGCGCACGGTCAGCGAATTCTCTACTGGACAGGCCAGTGCCTTCGACGTTAGGGAAGGCATAGAACGCCCCCTTTGGCGTTAAGCAGCGTATGCCCTTGATAGCGTTCAGGCCGTCCACGATGATGTGTCGGCGGCGGGCGAATTCTTCGACCATGCTGTTCGGCGCATCCTGTGGGCCTGCAATCGCTTCAAGCGCTGCGTATTGGGTGAAGCTGGCGGTACAGGAGACGCTGTTGGTTACGAGGCGCGAGATTGGCTCTACCAGTTCGAGAGGCATCACGCCGTAGCCCGCGCGCCAACCCGTCATTGCGTATGTCTTGGAGAAGCCGTCGAGGATTACGGTGCGGTCGCGCATATTTGGGAATGACGCGATGCTGTGATGCGTGCCTTCGTAAAGAAAAACGGATGTAGATTTCGTCTGACAAGACGATTATGTCGTGCTCCTTGGCGAGGTCGGCAAGCGCTTCGAGCTGCTCCCTTGCCATTACGCTGCCGCACGGGTTGTTGGGCGAGTTGACAATCATCAGCTTTGTCTTGTCGGTAATCTGGCTCGCTACTTCGTCGACATCAATGTTGAAGTCGAGAGATTCGTGGAGGCGCATAGGCACCGGGACGCCGCCCGCGAAGCTGATCATGGACTCATAAATGGGGAAGCCCGGGTTGGGGTAGAGGACTTCGTCGCCGTAGTCAACGAGGGCGAGCATAATGAAAAACATTATTGGCTTGCCGCCCGGGGTGACGACGACATTGTCGCCGGTCACAGAAATACCGCGTGTCTGTGAGATTTCCTGCGCGATGGTTGCACGTACATCGGGGAAGCCGGGCGAGGGGCCGTAGTGGGTTTCGCCCCGCTTGAGCGCCTTGACTCCCGCATCAACGATGTTTTCAGGAGTGTCGAAATCGGGTTCGCCTATTTCGAGGTGGATGACATCCATTCCCTCGGCTTCGAGGAGGCGAGCCTTCGCTAAGACCTCAAAAGGCGGTTTCAGTTCCCAGTCGGCTCATTCGCTCGGCAAGCTTCATGTGCGTTCCCCCGGCTTGGCGCGTTTAATTGTAGTGTACACAAATAACATGGGCGATCTATGAGCTTATTATAAACTGGTGATACGGTATATGGAACAATTAAGTCGGCGGGCTTTGCGCGGATGTATGGTAAGATTGGGACGCGAAACTGCCATCAGGAGGTGAGGCAAATGAAGATATACATTGGCGCACCTAGGGGTTTTTGCGCGGGCGTAGTTCGCGCGATAGACCTTGTTGAAATTGCGTTGGAGCGATTCGGCACACCTGTCTATGTGAAGCATCAGATCGTGCATAACTCGCATGTGGTGGATTCGCTTGAGGCGAAGGGGGCCATCACTGTAGAGGATGTGGACGATATACCGGAGGGATCGAAGGTGGTGTTTTCGGCGCATGGATCGCCACCGGAAGACTTTGCTAAGGCGGAGGCCCGCGGACTGGATGTCATTGATGCCACATGTCCATTGGTTACGAAGGTGCACAACGAAGCCATCAGATACGATGGCGAGGACAGGCGGATTATCCTTGTCGGTCATAGGGGACATCAAGAGGTTAAAGGGACGATGGGTCAAACAGGAATGCACCTGGTTGACGACAGGGAGGAAATGAACCTTCCGGACTGGGACGATGATACGCCGGTGGCGGTACTGACTCAGACAACGCTCTCAGTCGATGACACCAAGCGTTCGATAGATGACATTCAGAATAAGTTCTCTAATGCCATAATTAGGAATGATCTGTGCTACGCGACGACTAATCGGCAGTCGGCTGTCAAAGAGATCACCGACAAGATTGACGTCATGCTCGTGATCGGGGCGCCCAACAGCTCGAACTGCAACAGGCTGCGCGAAGTTGCTGAAGCGCAGGACGTGCCCGCATACCTGCTCAACGGACTCGATGAGTTGCGACCCGAGTGGCTAGAGGGCGCAGAGAATGTGGGCATAACGTCGGGAGCATCCACACCGGAGTATCTGGTGCAGCAGGTCATTGATGCGCTTGAGCCGGACGAGGTTATCGAAGTTGAGGTTGCGAAGGAGGATATAACCTTCGTGCTGCCAAAGGAGCTACGGGACTGACGGCGAATGCCAAGAGCTACAGAATAGACAGGATCGACTTGAAACATGGAAATCAGGATAGGAAGCCTGTATAGGGGAGCGCAGGAAGCGCGGGGCACGGTCGTTATCATCGATGTGTTCAGGGCGTTCACCACGGATGCGGTTGCGTTCTCGAAGGGGGCTGAGAAGATTGTGCTGGTGGCGGAGGTGGAGGAGGCGCTGAAGCTGCGCGAGCAGGGCGTGGGCGACATCTGCATGGGGGAAGTTGATGGTATAAGGCCGGACGGTTTCGACCTGGGTAACTCGCCGTACGAGATGCTGGACGCGGATGTGGCTGGCAAGTCGCTGATACAGTCCACGCGCGCTGGCACCGTCGGCATGAGCGCGGCGGTTAATGCTTCGCAGATTTACGCAGGATCTCTGGTTCTTGCCGCCTCGACTGTGAAGGCTGTTCTGGATGACGCCCCCGATCTGGTTACCATCGTTGCGATGGGCGCTGAGGCGCGGGTGCATGCAGACGAGGACGAGCAGTGCGCTTTTTACATGCGAAACCTGCTGCAAGGCCGGAAGCCTGAACATGACGCTGTGCGGGCGCTGGTGTTGGCGGGCGCGGAAGCGCAGAAGTACGCTGATCCTGAGCAGCCGCAGTTTCACCCGGAAGACAGAGATATGGCGCTTCAAATCGACAGCGTGGACTTCGCTATAAAGGTCGGTAGGGAAGATGGACTGCTCGTAGCGCGGCGTCACGACTTGGCTTAGCACTAAACTTGCAAGTACAGGATTGGCTATGACCTTCCTCTTATGGAAGTAGAGGAAGGATTGAAGAGGAACTAAACAATGGAGTATCGCTATCTGGGAAAGTCGGGACTTAAGGTCTCAGCAATCGGGTTGGGAACCAATAATTTCGGGCGGCGTCTCGACGCGGGCGCTACAGCGCTCGTGATTAACCAAGCGCTGGACATGGGTGTCAACATGATCGACACCTCCAACAGCTATGGGGGCGGATACTCTGAGGAATATATCGGGCTAGCGCTGAAGGGTAAGCGGGACCAAGCGATCATCGCAACTAAGGTTTCCAGCACGGTAGGCGAAGGACCAAACGACGGAGGCAACTCCCGACAGCATATTATTGCTGCGGTGGAGGACAGCCTTCGACGGCTCAAGACGGACTATATCGACCTATACCAGATACACTGGCACGACCCGCATGTGCCGATAGAGGAGACGCTGCGCGTACTCGACGAGCTCATAAAGCAGGGTAAGGTTCGCTATATTGGCTGCTCCAATTTTTCTGCGTGGCAGGTGTGCGAGGCGGCGTGGACTTCGCGGACGCTGGGACTCGCCTCATTTTCCAGCGCGCAGCCGCGCTATAGTATAATGGACAGGGAGATAGAGGCGGAACTTGTGCCGTTCTGCCAGGAGTACGGCGTCGGCATTGTGCCGTACTATCCGCTTGCCAATGGCTTCCTGACGGGCAAGTATCGTCGCGGGCAGCCTACACCCGAAGGGACTCGTCTTGCTGAAAGCGACAGGGGCATGTTCACTGACGCCAACTTCGATCTTCTGGAACGACTGGAAGCTTTCTGCGAGGCTAGAGGACATACAGTGCTTGAGTTAGCATTTGCGTGGCTGCTGGCGAACAGGCGCGTGAGCTCGGTGATTGCGGGGGCAACGAGAGTGGAACAGATTGTCTCGAACGCCAAGGCAGCTTCGTGGCAGTTGACGCCTTATGAACTGTCCGAGGTGAACGGGATAATTGACGCGGTGAAGCCCGGGGGTGATGAGGGACAGAAAGTGGGATGGGCAGGATGTTCCAATTTTGGTTGGTCGCGAGGATGAGGAGTCTAGACCTCGATACCTCAATTATATCCGCGCGCCTCTGCGGACGATGACAGGGGATCCCTCCGCGAGAAGGGCTGAGGCGGGATCGGCGTCGATATAGTTGGCGAACTCGCTGCCGTACAGTCGTTCCACATCACATTGCAGCCCAGCGTCGTGAATGCGCCAGATGCGCCAGCGCGGGTGCTCAACTTCGTACTCGAGAGTTCCGCCGTCGCGCTGCATGGCGTAGCCCCAGTAATGTTCCGCGATGAATTCTTCCTCCGTGTAGTCGCGGATTAGAGCGGCGCGCCCTCTGCGTGTACATCGAGGCTGTGCGGCGCATTTGGCTGTCCCCACTTATACGAAACAGACAAACTAGCGCCATTTTCTATTATCTTGTGGCCGGTTGGCATGGTCACATAGTTCTCGTTGTAGAATGCGCGAGCCACAAGTGTTATAGCGGGCTTGGGGACAATCTCTTTGACGAATACGACGCCCGCGCCGTACTTCGCCCGCAATCTCGCGGCGCACATAGAAGCGTAGGTTAATCTCCTCGAAGTCGCGGTGAAAGGGCACCGGAAGGCCGTAGAGGCGCGTGTTCAGAAACAACAGTCCAACGACGCTGATGTAGTGCTTACCATTCCATGTGTCCAGTTGCGTGCCTTTGGGCAGATATGGCTCAAGTACAGAGGGATCGATTTCGTAGTTGAGCATGGCAAGATGACGCCACTCGGTCGTGAGGAAGATGGGTTGCTTTGACTGGCGGTAGAGGTCCAGCTTGTATTTCAGCAGTATGAGCATATCGTGTGTTGTTTCCGTCAGTGCGCTGTGGTTATGTTGCCATGATACCATCGCCGCGAGACTGGGGGCTTATATACAGGTCGAATGATTTTCCAGGCTACCAAACTAACCTTTGAGGAAGTGGTAATTATAGATGGATCCGAAGTAGATACTCTGACTGTATATTTGCATTTCCCACTCTTTGCCACGCGAAAATTCATTGACAGGGTGAAAAGGCTCTTGTTATGATTGTCCTCGCATTAAGTCCTTTGGTGGTTCTAGCTAGATGGTCCCACCCGTTCCCATCCCGAACACGGAAGTGAAACGTCTCAGCGCCGACGATACTGCACCCGCAAGGATGTGGGAAAATAGGTCATTGCCAGAGGGCTTATTCTTTGATATGGCGTCTCACTCTGATGATCACCGCATTCCATTTTTGTTCCACATGAAGCATTAGTTTGAGAATCCCCGCGTGTATTTGGCTTTGGAATGTGGTTTTGGCGCTTAAGAAAGGAATTAGAATGGCCATTCGTGCAAGTTTCCTAGTTATGTTAATAGTCGCGGGAATTCTGGCACTTGTCGCATGCCAGCTGGTAACAGAGGATGAGCCGGATGAAGAGTCCGGCAATCGCCTGGCTGCTGTCAAGGAACGGGGCAAGGTGATTTGCGCGAGCCGCAATGACGTTCCCGGTTATGGATCCCTGGACGCTAACCAGAACAATGTGGGCTTTGACATAGACCTTTGCCGAGCGCTTGCCGCCGCGGTGTTGGGTGACCCCAATGCTATCGAAATCCGATTGATTTCTGCGGCAGAGCGTGGGCCGACGATCCAGTCCGGTGAGGTCGATATGCTCGTCCGCACGGTTACATGGACGAGCAGCCGTGACGCCCAGTGGGGTAACTACGCACAGACGATGTTCTATGACGGACAGGGCTTTATGGTGCGCAAGGACGAGGGCATCTCCGACGCACTTGAACTTGCGGGCGCATCGGTCTGCGTGACGCAGGGCACTACAACAGAGTTGAATTTGCAAGACTTTTCTAACCAGAACGGGTTAGAACTTTAGTGTCCTCACATTCGAGGATACGGACGCGGTGCTGGCGGCTTACGGCAGCGGACAGTGCCAAGCCTTTACAAACGACAACTCCCAGCTCGCGGCCCTGCGAACATCGTTGTCCAATCCTGCCGACCATGTCATTCTGCCAAATACGATCTCTGAAGAGCCTCTCGGTCCTGTAGTGCCTCATGGCGATGACCAGTGGTTCGACATCGTGAAGACGGTAATGGGCATGCTCATCTATGCGGAAGCATACGGAGTAGGCCAGGCGGAAGTTCCTACCGCCGCTACCGGCAATACTAAGGTGGACAGGCTGTTTGGCTTGGGAGAAGCGGCTAATGCTTTCGGACAAGAGACTCTGGGCCTCAGCAACACCGCCACTCAGGACGTAATTCGCGCGGTCGGTAACTACGGCGAGATTTACGACCGCAATCTGGGCCCCAACGGCATCAACCTTCCGCGCGAGGGTGGACGCAACGCGCTCTGGGCAGACGCCTCTTGCACAGACTGCCCGAAGGGTGGACAGATTTACGCTGCGCCGTTACGCTAACTCCTGGGGAGACATATAGCACCAATCCGCACTTAATCATGAGGCGGCTGGCATTATTGCCAGCCGCCTTTGCGTTGCCAATGGAATACATCGGCCCAGGCGAGGCAAAAATGTGAAAGGCATCCATAACCCCCTTCCAAGCCGGGAACAAAGTCAAATGGAATGGAAGGGATGTGGTAGGATTAGCATCGCAGACGACATATCCACAGGACGCACGTGTATAGATGATGCGCTCTATGACATATCAAGGGATACCGGTTTGGCGGCACGTCCAGATTATTCAGTGGGCGTCTCAGATCATATCCGGCATCGTAGTGGTGGGACTGGTTGCGTGGTTCTTCATCAACATCGGAAGCGCGATAGCGGAACGGAATATCCCCTACGGTTTCAGCTTCCTATCGCGCGGCTACCAGACGCCCATAGGCCAGCACTTCCTAGACTATGAGTCATCGGACACCTTCCGCTACGCGCTGGTAGTCGCATTCACCAACACACTTGTTGTATCCATTGTCGGCGTAATTCTTGCGACTGCACTGGGGATTGCCGTAGGCGTTGCCAGGATGTCCGGCAACTGGCTTGTCGCCAAAATTGCCACAGCGTTTGTCGAGTTCTTCCGTAATGTGCCGCTACTGGTTCAGCTATTCTTCTGGTTCTATATCGTTCTAGCCCTGCCGCCCGTGCGTGAAGGCTATGTGCTCGTACAGAATGTGTACATCAACAACGCCGGCGTTTCCGTGCCGTCTCCATCTCCAAGCAGCGGCGACACCGCGCTCGTTTGGCTTGCGCTCGCTGCCGCGGGAGTCGTTCTCGGATTCTTCGTTCATCGAATGATGTCTCGCCGCGAGGAACTGACTGGCCAAGTGTCCTATCCGGTGATTTACGGGTGCGCGGCGGCGATTGCTGTGGGCGCTGTGGCGTGGGTAGTGGTGATGGCTGTCGCCGGTGTGGCGCCTTTCGTCATCTCGATACCGGCTCCTGAGGGCACATTCGGACGTATAGCCGGCGGATTCACGGCCTCTGCCGGGCTGCTGGCGCTGCTGGTCGGGCTGGTAATATACACCTCAGCCTTCATCGCGGAGATAGTGCGAGCGGGCATACAGTCGGTCAGCAGAGGGCAGACGGAAGCGGCTCGCGCCCTTGGACTTACGCCTATGGCAACGCTGCGTAGTGTGACCTTCCCGCAAGCCCTGCGCGTCATCATACCGCCCCTCATTAGCCAGTACCTGAACCTGACGAAGAACAGTAGTCTTGCTGGGGCGATCGGATACTCGGACCTGACAAATGTCGCGAAGACGATGACGCAGACGGCGCCCTGCCGTGTCCATATTCATCCTGATTATGCTGTCTTACCTTGCTTTAAGCCTCGCGTACTCGCTAATCGGCAATCTGTACAATCGTTACATCAGCTTCGCCGGAAGGTAATCAATGGCTGTCAACAACGCACCATCGACTGATCAGCTTCCACCGCCTCGCACAGAAGTCGGCGTAGTGGGATGGATGTACGCAAACCTGTTCTCGTCCTGGTCCAGTGGCGTGCTGACTGTTGTGTCCTCAATCGTGGTTGCGCTGGCGGCGTGGTTCGGCATCGGATGGGTAGTGACAGACGCTGAGTGGAGTGTGATTGCCACAGTAGGTGGCGGGTTCTTCATTGGGCAGTACAATACAGAGCTTGCTTGTCCGGGGCAGAACTGCTTCTGGAGGCCGCAGGCTTCGATGTTGCTGGTGAGTCTGTTGCTAGGAATGGTGTGGGGAATTGCCGGGGGCGTTACGAAGAAGATCGCTCTAACGGTTGGGATCGTGTCCGCTGCGCTAGCCTTCCTACCCTACGGGTTCGAGGACATGGGACTTGATGTGCGGGTCCTATTGATCGCGAACCTGCCTGTAGTGTTCGCCGGCTGGGCGCTTGTCCGTTACACAACATTCGTAAATGTGAGTCGCGTAGTTATATCCGGCGTTGTCGTCTTTTTGCTGATACTGGTGCTTCTGCGTGGCTTGCCCGGCGTGCCAGGGATGCAGCCTGTGTCTGTCGTCAATTGGGGCGGTCTGATGCTGAATTTGCTGCTGGCAGTGGCGGGCATCGTGCTCAGCCTGCCCATAGGCATTGCGCTGGCGTTGGGTAGGCGAAGCAGTCTGCCCGTGGTAAAGCTGATGTGCGTGGCGTTCATCGAGATATTCCGAGGGGTGCCACTGATAACGCTACTGTTTATGTCGCAGGTGCTTGTGCCCCTCGCGTTTCCTGAAAATTTTCCTCAGAACTCGGTATTTCGTGCCGCTGTAATAATCACATTGTTCAGCTCAGCGTACATGGCTGAGAACATCCGAGGTGGATTGCAGGCGCTTTCGCGGGGGCAAGTGGAGGCGGCGCGCGCACTGGGTCTCCCAGGATGGCAGGCCACACTCCTGATAGAATTGCCTCAGGCAATTCGCAATGTCATCCCCGCGATTGTGGGGCAGTTCATCTCGCTGTTCAAAGACACAAGCCTCGTGTATATCATCGGAATGCTGGATGTGGTGGAAATCGGCAGGGCGTTCATTCAAGGCAATCCTGAATATCTGGGCAATGCGCGGGAGTTGTTCATCTTCTTAGCCATAGTATTCTGGATTTTCACATACAGTATGTCGTTCGTGAGCGGTCGTATCGAGCGGCATATGGGCGTGGGCGTACGGTAGAGGCGAAGGAAGCGCATAGCAGACCGACTGGTTGATGAGTGTCTAAGACTACGGAGGGAACCATGGCAACTAACGGGAGCACAGAGACGGTGGAGGACATCATCGTCTGCCGCAATGTAAACAAGTGGTTCGGCAATTTTCAGGCGCTGAAGGACATCAACACGACCGTAAAGCGTGGCGAGAAGGTCGTGATAGTAGGACCATCAGGCTCGGGTAAATCGACCTTCATTCGCACCATCAATCGCCTCGAGGAGCATCAGAGCGGCGACATCATAGTTGACGGTATCGAGCTTACGAAGGACGTTCGCAATATAGACGCGATACGCAGCGAAGTAGGCATGGTGTTTCAGCAGTTCAACCTGTTCCCGCATCTGACAGTGATGAACAACATCACACTCGCGCCTATGAAGGTTCGCAGGTGGTCTCGGAGCCAGGCAGAGGAGGTTGGGCTCGAGCTACTGAACAGAGTGGGCATACCGGAGCAGGCGGATAAGTACCCGAGCGAGCTATCGGGTGGTCAGCAGCAGCGAGTCGCTATCGCACGCGCCCTTGCGATGCAGCCCAAGGTTATGCTATTCGACGAGCCAACTTCCGCTCTAGACCCTGAGATGATTAACGAAGTGCTGGACGCAATGCGGGAATTGGCATACTCCGGAATGACGATGATGATTGTCACCCACGAGATCGGCTTCGCAAGAGAGGTTGCGGACAGGATAATAATGATGGACGAAGGGCGCATAGTTGAAGAAAGTCCCGCGAACGAATTCTTCGACAACCCCCAAGAGTGAGCGCACCAAACTATTCCTTTCTCAGATACTTTAGCTAACGCCCGAGAGTCGACAACGGGAGAAGGCAATACCTTGGTCGAGTGAAGTCACAGGAGAGAGAGCCAGGGTAAGGTAGTGAGTCGAAAGACAAACCCAAATTGCTCTTGAACGCACCTTGGAGTAGGGGTACACTGATCACAGGCGGCGGCTGGTCCCACTAGAACAGGCTCTCTATCGCGTAATTTCGTCTGGTCGCTTGCTCCTTTACACATTTGCGCTATGAGAATATAATAAGTACGAATACCAACTATAAGAAAGGCCCGTAGAGCCGTGACATCGAATCCCTCCCCAGACGACCCCGCCATTTTGCAAGACCCCAGCGATATAGAGGATCAGGACCCCGCCATTTCACAGGATGAAACCCCTGGTGAAACCTCTGAACCCTCGGAAGTCCCACCGCAGCCGACGACCCAGGCGACACCGCCTCCGGCGCCCGAACCAGTGGTGGCCGAGCCAACGATGCCAGAACCTGCGATTGCGGATGTTTACGACAACGATGATCTTGATGATCCTATGGATTTCGAGGAGGAATCCGAGGACCAGGGCATGGGGCAATTGCTGGACTCCATGGATCCCATCAAGCCACTTCGCCGCGGCGAAGTAGTGGATGGTGAGGTTATGGGTTTCTCCGAGGACGGCGGTGTCCTTGTCAATATCGGACACAAGTCCGAGGGCGTTGTGCAGCAGCGCGAGATGAGAACACTCAGTCCCGAGGATGTGCAGAACATCCAAATAGGGGACAAGATTATTACGTACGTGTTGAGGCCCGAATCCTCCGACAACGCCGCAATCCTGTCCATAGACCGCGCGCTCGGCGAAACCGGCTGGCGTGAGCTTGAGAAGTGCCTTGAAGACAACGAGACCGTTGAAGGCGACATAATAGGCTTCAACAAAGGTGGCGCGATCGTTGATGTTCGCAAGGTTCAGGGCTTCGTTCCTATGTCTCAACTTGTGAGCGTCCCGAGGGATATTTTCAGGGACAGGTCGGAAACCGAAGAAGATCCGGAAGTTGAAACGCGGCGGATGGAGCGGCAAGCCGAAGAGACCGGAAAGACGCTTCAACTGAAGATTCTTGAGATTAACCGGAGCCGCAACCGAGCGATATTCTCCGAGAGACAGGCTGTGCAGGAGTGGAGGGACACACAGAAGGCTCGCCTCGTGGAGGAGCTTCAGGTAGGCGAAGTCCGGAATGGTGTCGTAACAGGTATTAGTAGCTTCGGAGCATTCGTTGACCTTGGTGGTGCGGATGGCCTCGTGCACATTTCCGAAATGTCCTGGGGGCCGGTCGCTAGGCCGGAAGATGTGGTATCGATCGGTGACAAGCTTGATGTGTTTGTCCTGAGAGTGGATGTGGAGAACAAGAAAATTGCCCTCAGTCTGAGGCGACTCGAACCTGAACCGTGGGAGACGATTCACGAGCGACTTCATGTCGATGACATCGTTGACGCCCAGATTACGAAGCTCACAAATTTCGGGGCCTTTGCTCGCGTTGAAGGCAACATCGAAGGCCTGATACACATCTCCGAGTTGTCCGATAGAGTTATCGGTCATCCCAGGGAAATTGTGCAAGAGGGCGAAGATGTGAAGCTGAAAGTTCTGCGAATTGAACCTGAGCGGCGCAGGCTGGGCTTGAGCTTGAAGCAGACGGTGGAAAACCCCTTTATGAGTTTTGAATAGATACCCCGAAATTATTGGCTAGGGTGAGCTCCTTTCAGGAGATGTGCGATGGCAAGCAGATTCGAGAAATTTACAGAGAGAGCGCGCAGGGTGTTGTCGCTGGCGCAGGAAGAAGCACAGCGCTTCAACCACAACTACATCGGGACTGAACATATTCTGCTCGGTCTCGTGCGAGAGACGGATGGCGTAGCCGCACGTGTGCTCTCAAACCTCGGTGTCGAGTTGCATAAGGTGCGCTCCGCAGTCGAGTTCATTATCGGGCGTGGTGAGCGTTCCACGCCGGGTGAGATTGGACTGACTCCACGCGCCAAAAAGGTCATCGAACTGGCAGTAGATGAGGCGCGCCGACTCAACCATCACTACATTGGGACAGAGCATCTTCTGATCGGTCTGATGCGCGAAGGCGAAGGTGTAGCCGCCGGCGTCCTCGAAAGTTTGGGCATCAACCTCGACAAGATTCGAGGCGAGACCAGCCGGCTGCTGTCGCAATCGTCACAAAGCCCTCAGGGCAGCGGCAGGCGCGGCAGGAGCAAGAGCCAGACGCCGATGCTGGACGAGTTGGGCGTGGATCTCACCAAGCAGGCCAGGGAAGGCAAACTTGACCCGACTGTGGGCAGAAGCAACGAAATTCAGCGTGTGACGCAGATACTCAGTCGTCGCACCAAGAACAATCCTGTCTTGGTTGGTGAACCGGGTGTGGGCAAGACGGCAATCGTAGAAGGGTTGGCGCAGCTAATAGCTGAAAACAAGGTGCCATCGACTTTGCAGGGCAAGAGGCTTGTAACTCTCGATATGGGTTCGCTGGTTGCGGGCACCAAGTACCGCGGCGAGTTTGAAGAACGCCTCAAAAAGGTTGTCAAAGAAATCACGGAGTCTGGCAAGTGCATCCTCTTTATCGATGAGGTGCATACGATGGTTGGCGCGGGTGCTGCCGAAGGCGCGGTTGACGCTGCCAACATCCTCAAACCCTCCCTCGCAAGAGGGGAATTGCAGACGATAGGGGCTACCACACCAGACGAATATCGCAAATACCTTGAACGCGACAGCGCACTTGAACGCAGATTCCAGCCTGTGCGTGTTGAGGAGCCGACCGTTGATGAATCGGTCGAAATCCTCAAAGGTATCAAGGGCGAGTACGAAAAGCACCACGAATTGGAAATCTCATTTGATGCACTGAAGGCGGCAGCAAGCATGGCTGCTAGGTTCATCTCGGATCGTTCGCTGCCGGACAAGGCGATTGATCTCATTGACGAGGCGGCATCCAGGGTGCGGATCAACAACTCGGAGCAGCCTCTGTCTATGACAGAAGTGTCCAATATGCTTGACCGCGTTCGTGGAGAAAAGGATGAGGCAATATCAACGCGCCAATACGAGCAGGCAGCCGAATTGCGCGAACGCGAGATGAATTTGCAGGAAAAGATGGAAACCCTACGCTCTGACTGGGAGAATGAACGAAGTAGCAATAGCCCGATCGTCACCGAAGACGACATTGCCGAAGTGGTGAACATGTGGACCGGGATTCCGGTCGCGCGATTGGCATCTACCGAGTCAGAGCGCTTGGTGAACATGGAAGATTCGCTTCGAAATCAGGTCTCCGGGCAAGATGAGGCGATTTCAATCATATCGAAGGCTGTGCGGCGCGCAAGGGCCGGTCTCAAAAACCCGAAGAGGCCGACTGGAGTGTTCCTGTTCCTTGGCCCCACCGGTGTTGGTAAGACCTACCTTGTACAAAAGCTCGCAGAGTTCATGTTTGGTAGCGAAGAGTCCATGATTCGCATCGACATGTCGGAGTTCATGGATAGGCACACTGTGGCGCGGCTCGTGGGTGCGCCTCCGGGTTACATCGGATATGACGAAGGTGGTCAGCTTACGGAAGCGGTGCGCCGCCGCTCATATAGTGTCATTCTGCTCGACGAGATTGAGAAGGCGCATCCCGAAGTTTTCAACATTCTGCTTCAGATCTTCGATGACGGGCATCTTACGGATGCCAAAGGACGCAGGGTTGACTTCCGTAACACGATTATCGCCATGACAAGCAACATCGGCTCGGACCTTATTCGCCAAGACCGCTCCATCGGATTTTCTGCGAGAGGAGACTCCGGTCGGAGCGACGAGCAGGCATACCTCCGAATGAAGAACAGTGTATTGGACGAAGTGAAGCGTTTCTTCCGTCCTGAATTCCTGAACAGGATAGACGGTCAGGTGTGTGTTCCACTCGCTCGGCCGCGAGCACATGCGCGAGATTGTCAAACTGCAGCTGCTGGACGTAAATGCTGAGCTTATCGAGCAAGGCCTAACGATGGAAGTCTCGGACGCGGCTCGTGATTGGATGTCTGAAAAAGGCTACGACCCGCAATTTGGGGCTAGGCCGATGCGCCGCCTAATTCAGGATCACCTGGAAGACAAGCTCTCGGACGCTATCATCGCTGGTGAGCTCAGCCCTGGCGACACTGCTCTGGTCGATATCAATGACGACGAAGACGGCTTGGTAGTACACGCTAAGGAACCTATGCCCGTTTTGTAAATCGCTCTCAAGTTGTCGCGACAATGATCCTCAATGGAGACCCGCCTGTGCTTTCCGACACAGGCGGGTTTCTTTGTTCTCGAGTTCTGCGAGTGGGAATCTCATTTAACACGCTTGACTTACGTTCTAAAGTGTTCTAGTATATTTCATGCTGATAGAACATATGTGGTATTCAACGCACTGATTGAGATTCTTCCTCAATAGCATTGGTCGCGTGTTAAGGAGATGGTAGCAATGCCAAAGCTCAAGTCTAAGACTGTATTCGTTTGTACTTCCTGCGAGAATACTTCTGTAAAATGGGAAGGGCAGTGCCGCAGCTGCAGCGCCTGGAATACGATAATCGAGCATAGTGATGCTGGGAGATACGGATGGCTTCGCAAAGAATCATTCGCCGCTGTGCATCTTGCGGACGCCTCTTCCGATGATCTGCCGCGCATGCCGCTTATGTCCGGCGAGGTAAATCGTGTTCTGGGCGGAGGAATTGTGCCCGGCTCGCTAGTGCTGCTCGCGGGTGATCCCGGCATAGGTAAGTCCACGCTTCTTTTGCAACTCGCCGCGGAGGTGGCGAAAGAACACTCCTGCGTATTCTACGTTACGGGTGAAGAGTCGGTTTCCCAGGTGAAGATGCGTGCCGATCGTCTTGGAATCGACGGACAAAATCTGTATATCCTCACTCAGACAAACGTCGAAGATACGCTGGCGAGACTTGATGAACACCTTCCCGCGCTCGCGGTCATCGACTCGATTCAGACGATGTACGATCCATCGTTGTCGTCGCATCCCGGGAATGTGTCGCAGATTCGTGAATGCGCGCGAAGGCTGCTGGAGTGGGGCAAGGCGAACAATGTCCCACTCATCCTGACTGGGCATGTGACGAAGGGAGGAGACATCGCAGGACCGCGTGTTCTTGAACACATGGTGGATGTGTCACTGTACATGGAGGGCGACGCTGTGAGTTCGTGGCGGTTGTTGCGTGGTGTAAAAAACCGCTTTGGATCGACGAACGAGGTCGGCGTGCTTGAGATGACGGGCTCAGGGCTGCTGGACGTGTCCGACCCATCTGAGAGCTTCCTGCTTGACAGGCCAAAAGGAGCTATGGGTTCAGTCGTTGTGCCAGTACTTGAAGGCAACAGGGCGTTGCTCGTAGAAATTCAGGCGCTCACGGCGCCATCCACGATTCCTACCCCGCGGCGTGTGGCGACCGGGTATGACGCGCATCGGCTTTTGCTTGTTTGCTCAGTTGCGATGCGCACATGTGGGATGCCGCTCGCCGACTACGACGTGATAGTGAATGTAACCGGGGGGTTGAAGATAGCCGAGCCTGCTGCAGACTTAGGCGTCGCGCTCGCGATTGCGTCGAGCTTCAGGAGTGTGCCAATGCCCGGCGATTTTGCGGCAGTGGGTGAGGTAGGATTGAGCGGTGAGATTCGCCGCGCGCCTCAGACTGAGCGACGTGTTAAGGAAGCGGCGCGGCTGGGATTCAGGAAGTGTCTTGTTCCCGGTAATACTGACGACCGAGCATGCGGACCTGAAGCTCTCCACTACCAAAGAGTTGACACTCTGGCGCAAGCGATTAATATGTGCTTGCCGATAACACGGCGTATCTCAGAAGCAGTGGCATAGGGGCTGTACGAGGAGGCATATATTGATTAGCGCATACTTTCAGTGCATCGGCGGCGCGAGTGGAGACATGATTCTTGGGGCGCTGCTGGATGCGGGGCTGTCGCTAGATGACCTGCGAGGCGCCCTGGTAAGTCTTGATGTTGATGGTTACTCGCTGAAAGCCCAGCGTGCGCAGCGGGGAGGCCTAGATGGAACGCACCTGGTTGTTGAACTGGAGGAGCGGGGACGCAGAACGCACACGATTCAGAACTTCGTTGACATAGTCGAGGCGTCCGGACTTTCCAATGAAGTTGTGCGGCAGTCACGTGAAGTCTTTCTGCGTATAGGGGAGGCCGAGGCGCGGGTGCATGGCACGGCAACCGGCGAAACGCATCTGCACGAACTTGGGACGCTGGATACGCTAGTGGATGTCGTTGGCAGCGTGGCGGGCCTGGAGATGCTCGGCGTTGAGCGCGTATATTGCTCTGCGTTTCCAAGTGGATCCGGCGTCGTTAGATCAGAGCATGGTCTGTTGCCTGTTCCTGCACCCGCAACCGCTGTACTGTTCCAAATGGCGAATGCGCCCGTTGCCGCACCTCCGAATAATGCTCACAACACTGGGGAGATGGTCACGCCGACGGGCGCGGCTGTTCTGACGACACTAGCCATTTTTGAGCATCCTCAACTCAGCGTCGCACGCATCGGCTATGGCCTGGGTACTCGTGACTCGCAGCAATATCCGAATGCTCTGGCACTCTGGTTAGGTTCTGAGCAGCCTTCAGGATACAGCACTGGAGTGAAGCTCATAGAGACGAACATCGACGATATGAGTGGCGAGCTATTGGGATACGTTCAGGAGAGGTTATTTGAAATAGGTGCGCGCGATGTATGGTTCACGCCGATACAGATGAAGAAGAACCGCCCTGCGACAATGCTCAGCATCATAGTGTCCGCGGACAAGGAAGCCGAAGCGGTTGAGCTAGTGATGCGCGAGACTTCAACGCTCGGCGTGCGTGTGAGGCCGCTCGAACGCATCGAGGCTGAACGCGAAGTGGTGCGCATCGAAACCTCCGTGGGCAGCGCAGCCGTCAAACTGAAGCGGCTGAATGGCAGAGTTGTGAGCGTATCGCCTGAGTACGAAGATGCTCGTCTGCGCGCTCGTGAGCGCGACCTGCCACTTCAAGAGGTGTTCAGTCGAATTCAGCGCGAAGCGGAAAGCCAGATAATGGAACGTTAATCGCATAATACATGGACATGATATGGTAGCGAATATTGTTGACCGTTGTGCATAGTGTTGGTTACAATATAGTGTGCATTTGGGTTAGCTCGTGGCGTCAGTCGGCTAACCTGATTTGCTATCAGGGCTGCAAACGTTCACTACGGTGCCCCAGTGGCGCAACCGGAAGCGCAGCCGACTTGTAATCGGCAGGTTAGTGGGTTCGAGTCCCCTCTGGGGCTTTCTCTATCTGAAAGAGCGTTGTCAATGCAGGCGGGGCCCTCCTGAGGGTGCTTTCACTTGGATTGGGCAAGTGCCTGTGATAGACTTAATTTGGCTGCCCGGCGACCCCTTGGAGGGATGGGAGAGTGGTTAAATCCACCAGACTGTAAATCTGGCGCCCGACGGGCTACGCAGGTTCGAATCCTGCTCCCTCCACCACGATAAGCAGATGAAAAACTAGGCAAAAAATTAGAATCGGGCCCACATAGCTCAGTCGGTAGAGCGCGTTCTTGGTAAGAACGAGGTCAGCAGTTCAAGTCTGCTTGTGGGCTCCACAATTGGAGGAAGAGAACAGGAATGGCTAAGCAAAGGTTTGAGAGGACTAAACCCCATATAAACGTCGGTACGATTGGACACGTGGACCACGGCAAGACGACTCTTACGGCTGCGATCACCAAGGTGCTCAGCAGTGCCGGCCTTGCCGACTTCAGGGCTTTCGACAGCATCGATAATGCTCCTGAAGAGAAGGAGCGCGGTGTTACGATCGCTATTCAGCACGTTGAGTATGAAACCGATTCTCGCCACTACGCTCACGTTGACTGCCCTGGGCACGCTGACTACATCAAGAACATGATAACGGGCGCAGCTCAGATGGACGGCGCCATACTCGTGGTCAGCGCACCGGATGGCGCAATGCCACAGACCCGCGAACACATTCTACTCGCACGGCAGGTGGAAGTTCCTGCGATGGTAATTGCGCTCAATAAAGTTGACATGATGGACGACGAAGAGTTGCTCGAACTTGTCGAACTGGAACTTGATGAGCTGCTTTCCGAATATGGATTCGAGAATGTTCCCATCGTTCGGGTAAGTGCTCTGAACGCTCTGGAGGCCGAAGGGACAGGCCGGGATTCCGAGTGGGGCAAGGGCATCTGGGAGTTGATGGACGCAGTCGACGAGCATATTCCTATGCCTGAGAGGCCGCGTAACCAGCCGTTCCTCATGCCGATCGAGGACGTCTTCAGCATCAAGGGACGCGGCACCGTTGTTACGGGGCGCGTGGAGAAGGGACTCGTCAAGGTCGGCGACCAGATTGAGATTGTGGGTATCAAGGACACCACGACTACTACGGTCACGGGTGTGGAGATGTTCCACAAACTGATGGACCAGGCAGAGCCCGGGGACGCGGTTGGAGTGCTCCTGCGCGGCGTAGATCGCGATGAGGTCGAGCGAGGTCAGGTTCTGGCAGCGCCCGGCAGCATACTGCCTCACAAAGACTATGAGGCGCAAGTGTATGTGCTGAGTAAGGATGAAGGTGGCCGCCATACGCCGTTCTTCAACGGATACAAGCCGCAGTTCTTCATTCGCACAACCGATGTAACGGGCGAAATCCAGTTGCCTGAAGGCACCGAGATGGTCATGCCCGGCGATAACATCGAGATGAATGTTAAGCTCATCACTCCTGTCGCCGCCGACGAGCAGTTGCGATTCGCCGTTCGCGAGGGTGGACGCACGGTTGGCTCAGGCGTCATTACCAGAATCAACGACTAACACATAGACTGACTAAGTGCAGGGCTGTGGTTGCTCATCACAGCCCTGCACCTTTTAGAGCAGAAGAGATATAAACGGAAAGAGAAATGGCGCGAAGGGCAGAAAACCGCATCATAATTAACTTAGGCTGCGTCGATTGCCGCGAGCGGACTTACCATTCGTCGAAAAATCGCCGCAACGACCCCCAGCGCGTGGAACTGAAGAAGTTCTGCCCGAGGTGCAGAGCACACACACTGCACAGGGAAGTCAGGTAAGAGTGCATGGCTACTAATCCTGGCGCACCAAGGAGACTTGGGAATAGGGTATCGCGCGGTGGTTTCGGGCTGTCTGGGATAACCGAAATTATCTCGGAGCTTCGTCGAGTCACTTGGCCGTCCTATGAAGAAACCTTCAGGCTTTCTGTAATGGTTATCGCCGTTGCGGCGGTGGTGGGCGCATTTCTTGGGGCGGTTGACTTGGGTTTTGCAAGTCTGTTCGACATAATTTTGGGGAAATAAAGCGGACATGAACAGAACTGAAGAAGTCGAACAGCCTCGATGGTACGTTTTGCATGCTTATTCCGGACATGAAGGTCGGGTGAAGCAGAACCTTGAGCAGCGCGTATCCAATATGGATATGGGTGACAAGATTCTCGAGGTTTTCGTTCCACAGGAAGAGGAAATCGAGATTCAAGGTGGGCAGCGCAAGACGGTTTCACAGCGTGTGTTCCCCGGTTACATTTTTGTGCATATGCGGATGGATGACGAAAGTTGGCATGTCGTCCGGAGCACGCCGGGCGTTACGGGGTTCGTATCGGCAGAGGACGATGGTGAAGCGCGACCGAGACCCGTCCCGCTCGATGAGCGCGAAGAGCAGACCATACTCGGTTTCAAAGATACCGAACAGCCTCGCGTGCGTGTAGGCTTCACCCAGGGCCAGGCGGTCCGTATTACGGATGGACCGTTCGTCGACTTTATGGGAGTAGTCGATGAGGTGCATGCCGACAGAACTAAGCTTAAAGTGCTGGTCTCTTTCTTCGGTCGAGAAACACCCGTAGAGCTAGACTTTCTCCAGGTGGAACGAGCCTAGATAAATCCTCCGGGTGATGAGCCGTGCCTTATTTTGGCGGAGACGATCGCCATAAGGTTGCGCTTTCCATATCGCATAGAAAAATCAAATCTTCCTCTTTACGGGCAAAGGACAAGTTAGTTGGCTAAAAAAGTAAGGACTGTGATAAAGCTCCAGATAGATGCGGGCAAAGCAACGCCTGCACCTCCGGTCGGACCTGCACTCGGTCAGCACGGAGTTAATATCATGGGGTTTGTGAAGGAATACAACGAGCGCACTGCGTCGCAGGCCGGTAACATCGTGCCGGTTGAAGTAACGGTCTTCGAGGATCGGTCATTTGCGTTCATAACGAAAAGCCCGCCGGCTTCTGACCTGCTCAGAAAGGCGGCAGGTATCGAGAGAGGCAGCGGCAACCCTCTTGCCGAGAAAGTCGCCCGCATTCCTAGAGACAGGGTGCGTGAGATTGCCGAACTCAAAATGAATGACCTCAATGCCGCTGACCTCGAAGGAGCGATTAGGATAATTGAGGGAACAGCGCGAAGTATGGGTATCGAAGTGCAGCAGTAGCAATGCGCGGAAGTTCGCATTCATTGCGTTAGTTCAGATAGGACAGAACAATGGCTAAACACGGAAAGCGGCATAACACTGCTACCGCCGTAATTGACAAGGACTTTGAATATCAGCCGGAAGAGGCTGTTGCGCTCGCTAAAAGCAACGCCACTGCGAAGTTCGACGAGACGGTTGAGTTGCATCTGCGCACGGGTGCTGACCCACGGCACGCCGACCAGATGATTCGCGGTGTCGCGCTACTGCCGCATGGCGTAGGCAAGACCGTGCGCGTTACGGTTTTCACGCAGGGCGAGGCAGTTTCCATTGCCGAAGAGGCTGGTGCCGATTTCGTCGGTTCCGATGAGATTATCCAGCGTGTTGAGGGTGGTTGGGTGGATTTCGATGTGTCGATCGCCACGCCGGATATGATGGGAAGAATCGGAAGGCTGGGGCGCTTCTTGGGGCGAAGGGGGCTTATGCCCAATCCGCGCACCGGTACGGTGGTACAGCCTGACGAACTACCTAGGACCATTCGTGAAGCTAAATTGGGCAGAGTGGAGTACCGTGTTGACCGGACCTCACTGATCCATGTGCCGATAGGCAAAGCCAGTTTTGAACTGGACCAGTTGATGGACAACCTCACTTCGCTCATGGATAACATCGTCAGAGCGCGACCGAGCGGAATAAAGGGGCAGTACATCAGAACTGCCTATCTCACGACAACGATGGGTCCAAGCGTCAAAATGGATGTTGCCAGTACGAGCGCCCTTAGAGTAGAATAGAATAAATTCGATGCCGCAGACTGCGGGCCTCCGCAATAGGAGATAATACTCCAGCCCGTTTAGGCACTTTGATAGCCATACATGGCTGTCAGCTTCAGGTCAATGACCACCTGTGCCCTGAGTCTGTTGCGTCTCAGGGCATTTTTATTGCCCGCAGTCTTGTGTGGACGATGCCCACATTACGCAATCGTCCACTATGACGGAGAGATATGAGGTAGAAAGTTGCCAACAGACAGAAAAGTTAAAGCGGTTCAGGACATGAAGGAGTGGCTGGATGGAGCGACAATTGTCATCTCGACCAGCTACACGGGATTGTCGGTAACCGACATGACCGCGCTAAGGCGAGCGCTTCGTGAGAAGGAAGTTCGCTACAAGGTCGTAAAAAATACTCTGGCATATATTGCCGCGGACAACGCGGGACAGCCTGAGCTGAAAGAGATAATTCAGGGACCGAGCGCAATTGCATTTGGCTACGGCGAACCCACAGACCCAGCAAAGGCGCTGTCGCAGTTCATCCGCGAGACTCGCTCACCTCTCGAAATTCGCGGCGCGGTCCTGGACGGCAGGGTGCTTGATGCGGCACAAGTTGAGCGACTTGCCAGCCTGCCGGGCAAGGACGAGTTGGTCGCCCTACTTCTCTCCCGAATGCAGTCGCCGATTTCAGGCTTGGTGAATGTGCTGAACGGACCCATAGCAGGACTTGCGCGCGTGCTGCAAGGACGTATCGACAATCTACAGGAACAACCGGCAGAGTAACATAGGCGGGCGTTATGCCCAAGTAAACAGGGAGGTTTTTCAATGACGACGAAGGAAGAGATACTGGACGCGATTAAGGAACTATCCGTATTGGAACTTTCGGACCTGGTGAAGGCGCTTGAGGATGAGTTCGGCGTAAGTGCCGCAGCCCCGGTGCAGATGGCAACCGTGCAGGGCGTAGCCGGCACCGCGGAGGCTGCAGCCGAAGAGGAGCAGACCGAGTTCGACGTGTCCATACAGGAGATTGGGCCTCAGAAGATTCAGGTCATCAAGGCTGTCCGCGAGCTAACCACTCTCGGGCTGAAAGAGGCGAAGGAACTCGTTGAGAGTGCGCCTGTCGCGATCAAAGAAGCCATCAACAAGGACGAGGCAGAAAACATTAAGGCGAAGCTTGAAGGCGCGGGGGCCGTTGTCACGGTCAACTAGTAGTATTCACGGCTTTCCTGAAATCTAAACTGAAGTAACGGTCGCCCTACTTTTTGCCTGCGGTTCGGCAGGCGAGGAATAGGGCGACTTGCTTTCAGGAATGTGAGTAGCCCGCTTTCGTTTGGTAATGGGACTATTCATTCGAAGCAATGAATGGAATAGTCTGTGGTCCCTCGGGCAGTACGCATATCTGAGCGTCCGGCCCGCATTCGGCAATTGCGTCTTCGATGTGCTCCACTGGCTTGAGGTGTGCTTCAGCGACCTGCTGTGGCGTGAGAAAGCCGGACTTCAGATACACATCCGCTTTCATCTGTATTTGCGCCTGAATTTGTGCCTGCCACTGGTCATGTCGATCGAAACCCGGTTGCTGAATCATCTCCAGCAGTTCTGCCGGACTGCCGCGAGATGCTAGTATGCGGCGGTACTGACCATGCTCAGGGATGCCTTCAGAGCACTCGGCAGCGCATATTATTCTGCCACCGTCCCGCACGACCTGAGCGGCGGCGGACATACCCTTCACAGCCTGGTACAGGTTCTGGTCAAGCGGATACCCGCTATTGGTCGTCAGCACGACATCGAACGCCGAGTTCACGGGCTGCATAGCGAGCCGGCGGGCGACCGCGCGCGCGGCATTATGAACTGCGAATAATTCTCCGGCGTACACGCTGGTTATACGATGCTCACGATTTATCGTCACATCAACCGCGAAGTCTACGCCCGACATGCCCGCGATCTCCCTGATGGCATCGTGAATAGGGTTGCCGACGGTCACGGCGAATCTGGCATCGGGGTGTCCGATCATTGCTGCGTCGTGCAGGCGCATTATAGTTGGAAAGCCCGCAAGGCCCGGCGCAACCATCTTGGGCCCTCCACTGAAACCCGCGAAGAAGTGCGGCTCCACGAATCCGGTCGTTATGCGGACATCGCTCTCCACCCATCGCCTATTGAGACTAACTTCAATGCCGGCCTCCGTGCTGCCTATCTTCTCCAATAAGTCGTCGTCGAAGCCGTCATGATTGACCACGCGGTACTTGCCAACTACGTCTTCACCAAGCATCTCGGCGAGTTCTTCATTGGTGTTGGTGCGGTGTGTTCCCGTAGCGATGAGAATGGTGATGTCTTGTGGCGGCAGATGGCGTAGTTCGCCCAGCAGTACGGGCAGCAGGGTTCTGCTCGGCATGGGGCGCGTGATGTCGCACACGGATATCGCAACACTTTGACCCTGCTTAACAATCTGCCTCAACGGTGCTGTGCCTATGGGGTTGCGCAGTGCTGTCCGGATTGCGCCCTCGGCGTCCGGCAACCCGGGAACATAGGTAGGCTCGATTACCGTGGTGCGCTCTCGGGGCAAATCGACTTCCAAGCCGTCGCGCCCATACGCCAGTTTGACTTTCATTCGAATCTCTCGCTTGTTGTTATGTAGCGGCGCATGACGGTTCGTTTCTGTCCCTCCGGCGTCACATCTTCGAAACCTGCGCGTCGAAATGTGTCCGGTGAACCCATGTATGTGTATGAGGGAGCGTCCGGTTCTACGGGATATCCCTCGACTATGCGGGCGCCTTCCGATGCGGCATAGTCAACCGCCGCCATTAGCAGCTGCAGCGTAAGCCCCCTTCGACGATGGCGTCTGTCAACGAAGAAACACACGACAGACCACACAGGCTCGTCGTCGATTCTCAGAAGTGCGCGGTATCGCTCCAGCGCGGAGTATGCAGATCGCGGTGCGATTGAACACCAGCCAATAGGCTGTCCATCATGATACGCAAGGACGCCCGTAGCCTCGCCGGAGCACACGCGAGTCTTCAATGCCTCCGCGCGCTCCGACTTTGAAGAGTTACGGAACTGGCTGCTAGTCATGCGCCAACGCATGCATGAACAGTACCCGAACTTGCCATGCTCGGCGGAAAATTGTTTAAGGTCCGAAAGACGCTCCGCAGTCACAGGTTGGAACAGCAGGGATGACATTGGACCTTCGCTGTGCGAAGACATTTAACCTTTCAGCTAGCTGTCCTGCTGTCGTAACAGGGCTTCGCACAGGTGAGCGGTGTCCACCAATTCAGGTATGACTACATACTCTCTGACGGTGTGCATGCCGTGGTCTGCCATCCCTACGACAACCGCGCTCATGCCCCTCAGCCGGAATACATTGCCGTCAGTGCCGCCGCCGGATGGTTGGAACATAGGCTCAAGCCCAAGTCCCTCTAGTGCGCTCACAACGCGCGACGTTGCTGCGTCGTCGTCGCTCAGCGTGTATGTCTCGAACTCCGTGTGAAGGTGGTCATCCAGTTCAGCCTCCGGAAACATCTCTCGGACCTCGTCCAGCGCCTCCGAGACTTGCACACGGAGGCCGTCTAGTGTCTCGATGTTGCGACTTCTGAACTCGCCGTGGATGATTGTCGTCTCAGCCACCGTATTCCGCACCGACCCGCCCTCAATCGTTCCGATGTTGAAGGTCGTTTCTTCGTCGAGGCGCCCCTGCGGCAATCGCGTAATCAGCTCAGCTGCGATGCGGATAGCCGATAAACCCTTCTCCGGCTCAACTCCCGCGTGTGCCGCACGGCCCGTCACCTCGATATCGAAGCCGATGTATGTAGGGCTTGAAGATGTAATCTGCGCGGCAGATCCTTCGCCGTCGAACACAATGGCTTCCTTGGCTGTGAGCATGGTGAAATCGAGATTTCGTGCCCCAACTAGCCCAATTTCTTCTTCGCGAGTGAAAGCGACCTCAATGCCAATGTGCGGTACGTCGTCTTCGTACACCGACTCGAGGGCCTCAAGGATGGCTGATACGCCGCACTTGCAGTCTCCGCCTAGTATCGTTGTGCCGTCGGATTCGATGCGATCGCCGTCAATCTTGGGCTTGACGCCGCGTCCCGGCTCAACCGTGTCCATGTGCGCCGAAAGCAACAGCGGATCCGGCCTGCCGTCACTGGCTACAAGATTGCCATAAGAGTCGCGCTTGACCGTCAGTCCGAAGCCTTCGAGACGGCGTGTCAACTCTTCTGCCATCGCCTCTTCCTCTCCGGAAGGACTGTCAATCTGCACTAGGTCCGTGAATGTCTTAACTAGGCGGTCGCGGTTAATCATTGGTTCTCCTGGTGGGTACTGATTTTCAACTGAAACTGTGGATATTGTATTGGGTATGGTGGGTGTGTCAAGGGTTGGAAGTTCATGCCGCTAGAGGTTAAACTACACGCGATGCAAGTGAGGTGTGGCAATGAATGCACAAAGCGCACAGGAGCCGAGCGAACCGCAATACACGACGATGATACGGGACCTGCCGCAAGACGAGCGCCCACGTGAACGTCTCCAGCGATATGGTCCCAGCAGCCTGAGCAACTCTGAACTCATCGCTATTCTGCTGCGTGTCGGGTCGGCAGGGGAGAGTGTACTGAATTTGTCCGCTCGAGTGTTGTCAACCTATGGCGGTCTCGGAGGCGTTGCAAAGGCGTCCTATGGCGAACTCTGCGGCTTACACGGCATCAGCGCCGCCAAAGCCTGCCAACTCTTGGCTGCGCTCGAGCTTGGGAGGCGCATGACATCGCTCCAGCCGGACGACAGAGTAAGAATAAACACGCCGCTCGACGTGTTCAACCTGCTCAGCGCAGAAATGGGCTTTCTCGTTCAGGAACATCTAAGAGTGTTGCTGCTGAACACGAAGAACGAGGTGCTGGCGACGCATGAAATTTACAAGGGCAATGTGAACTCCGCAGTGGTGCGCGTCTCGGAGGTGCTTCGGCCGGCAGTGAGGGAGAATTGCCCCAACATCATAATCGCGCACAATCATCCCTCTGGTGATCCAACTCCTAGCCCGGAGGACATTCTTGTAACGCGCCAGATTCGCACCTGCGCCGAGATGATGGATATCGAACTGCTCGACCATGTTGTTATCGGCAATCGGCGCTTTGTCAGCCTGAAAGAGCGACGACTAGGATTTGACGGCAACGCCGCTGGCAGCAGCGACTTTGGGCTGGCGGCAGAAAGGAAGTAGGTGATTGACATGCCAGATAGAGAACTTGGAGATGTAGGCACGGAGTTCAAGTATGAAGACGACGATGTTAAGGTATGGGACCTGGTGCTGGAGCCCGGTCAGTCCAGCGATTGGCATCACCACACGAATCGCTATGTGTTCATCGTCACGCGCGCCGGAACGCTTCAGACGGAGCATGACGACGGCAGAGTAACAGTGTCGGAACTGGAACTTGGTCAGGTCGTGAAGGGCATCCATCACGCCGTGCATCGTGTCACCAACATTGGCGGCGAGCTGTACAGCAACGCCATCATAGAAATGAAGGACTGAAGAAACGTTGAGGTGAGAAATGTCCAGGGAAAACGGACCACTTGGCGAGATCGCCACTGAAATTCTGTTCGAGAACGAAAAAGTTAGAGTTTGGAATCTGGTTGTGGAGCCGGGCGAGGCAAGTGACTGGCACATGCACGAAAATGACTACGTCACGGTGGTCGTGGAAGGAGCAGGGCTGGTGGTCGAGTACGACGACGGCACGCAGGACGACAGCCCGTCCGAGGTCGGCACATGGCGCTTCCACGGCGACCACAAGATACATCGCGTCGTGAACAACAGGGACACGCGCTACAAGAATGTGCTGATAGAGCTCAAGCAATGAAGATTCTTATCATGGGCGCGGGCGCGACAGGTGGTTGCTACGGCGGCTTGCTGGCGCGCAGCAGCGAGGATGTCGTTCTCTTGGCGCGCGGCGACAACCTGAACGCAATCCGCGAGCGCGGCATGCAGGTCGACTCCGAGACATTCGGCAGCTTCACCGTGCGTCCTCAGGCTGTCGATGTACTCGACGGCACTTGGACCGCCGACCTCATTATGTTCTGCGTTAAGGGCTACCACAATGAACAAGCCCTGTCAGACATGTCACCCGCTGTTGGCGATAGCACGACCATCCTGACATTGCAGAACGGCATTGGCGGCGGCGAGCAGATTGCAAAACGATTTGGCAGTGGCAGTGTGCTCCTAGGTGCGGCGTACATCGACGCAGAGCGCACCGCGCCCGGCATGTTCGCGCAGCGCGGCAGCCCGCCCCGCATAGTGCTCGGCGAGGAGAGCGGCGAAGCAACCGAGCGTGCCAAGGCAATCGCCGACGTGCTTCGGCGCGCGGACATCGAAGCTGAAGTCTCGCCAAATGTGCTAACCGCCCTGTGGAGCAAGCTCACATACATTTGCGCCCTGAGCGGTATGACCTGCATCACGAGAGCGTCCTTTAGCGAGGTCTTGGAAACTCCTGAGACTCATGCCATGACAATGCAGGTCATGACCGAGGCGTTGAAAGTGGGGCAGGCAAGTGGCGTTCCGCTTGACGACGGCTTGGTAGATTCTGTTATGGCAGGCTTTCAGGAGGAGAAGGGCGGCCTGATCTCGTCTATGCACACTGATCTTATGGCCGGCAACCCGCTTGAAGTCTCGCTCATAAACGGCGCAGTGGCGCGAATCGGCAAGGAAGTCGGTGTCAATACGCCGGTTAACAGCATGATTGCAACCTGCCTGACAATCGCGGACAAAAGAGCGCGCGGGACTGCCACCGGCTGACACATCGCAAGACGAGAGGCTCTGTTCGTCCTGAGCGTGTCGAAGGGCATTAAAGTTAGGAGAGGATATTGGACTACTTCATCGACCCCGCACAGGTCAAGCGCAGGGAACTCGCACCTGGAGTAACACTGCGTACGATGTGGGGCGACAAGATTATGATGAGCATGGTGGAAATTGCGCCGAATGCGGTAGTACCGATGCACACGCATCCCAACGAACAGGCGGGCATCGTGCTTCAAGGGGAGTTCGAGTTCACCATCGGCGGCGAGGTGAAGACTCTAAGGCAGGGCGATGCCTATGTCATTCCCGGGGGAGTGAAACACGGCTTAGTCGGATCCGACGGCTGGTCGATGGCGATGGACATATTCAGCCCACCGCGCGAGGACTACAAGCATTAGACAGCGACAGCCGCAGAAACGCTGCATTTTGCGCGTCTGCGGCTGATGACTATCGGTGAGTTAGGGAATTGGCGATTGACGAACTAGCTGCCGTAGCGAGCCGCGGCAACAGGGTCGCTGTACTCGACGCCCTTGGTGGACCAGAAGATGGTAGCAATCTCGTCCACGGCTGCGACCAGCGCCTCTGCGTTCCCCATGCTGACAGTCTGTTTGCACTGCCCTGCGAGCTTCAGCGCGGCGTTGAACTTGGATGCGATGTCGTTGGCGTCACAGCCGGGCCATGTGTAGTCTGCCCAGAGTATACGCAGCTCATGCTTGCAGATTTCCGCGTGCTCTTCCTTGACCGTCACGTAGCGTCCCATCGTGTTGACGGAGGCCGCATCGCCCGCGTTTTCGAACGCCTCAATGCGCAGAACCATCTTCTGCACCGTCTGCGCCGCAATCTTGGCGGAAATGGGGTCATAGATGCCGCAGGGAATATCGCAGTGCGCGCTCGCGGTACGGATTGACAGAATGCTCTCAATAGTTGACTTTACGCTCATTTGAACCTTCCTTTCGGGTGTCTGAATCTTGATTAGAAGATACAATAATCGCCCTTTGCTTGCAAGTAATTGTGGCTCCGATGACCACAGGTATAGGGTTTCTAAAGGGCTTGCTTGACTGTGTTTGCCCGATTTCAGCTTTACCGCGTGCAAGGGCAAAGCATGGCGCCCACACTCCAACAGGGTGACTATCTGCTTGTACGCAGCACCGAGCAAATATGGCGTTCGCCGACAAGAGGCGGCATAGTTGTCTTCTGCGCACTCAACCAGCCACAACAAACCGCCCTGAAGCGTGTAGTTGGGCTGCCGGGGGAGCGCGTGGCATTTGCCGATGGGACGCTATATATCGATGGCGAAGCCCATGCCGAACCCTACCTGGGTGGATTACCCCCGCATCTGGGATTAGACGCCATGGACTTCGCGCTGGGAACTGACGAATACTTCGTCATGGGCGACAGTCGGACACGTAGCACGGACAGCAGGCATTACGGTCCGATAAAACGTCAGCAGATAGAGGGCAGGGTAGTCTGCCGCATCTGGCCGCCCCTGCGATGGGGCAAACTGTGATGGTGGAGCGCCTGCGATGTACTAGCTCAGCCAGCGCGCCGCCTCCTTGGCGTGGTAGCTGATTATCATATCCGCGCCTGCGCGCTTGATGGATGTGAGAATCTCCAGTGTGATGCGCTGACCGTCAATCCACTCATTCTCGGTAGCCGCCTTGACCATTGCATACTCGCCGCTGACGTTGTACGCCGCCATGGGGTAGCCGAAAGCCTCGCGTGCCCGAGAAATCACATCCAGATATGACAGTGCAGGCTTGACCATGATGATGTCCGCACCCTCGTCGATGTCCATCTGAATCTCGCGCATCGCCTCGCGTGAGTTCGCTATGTCCATCTGGTAGCCACGTCTGTCGCCGAACTGCGGCGCAGAATCGGCAGCGACACGGAACGGCCCATAAAAGGAAGACGCGTACTTCGCGGAGTATGCCATTATCGGCAGGTTTTCGAAGCCCGTGCTGTCCAATCCTGTCCGTATGGATGCAACTTGCCCGTCCATCATAGCTGAGGGCGCGACAACATCCGCGCCCGCCTCCGCTTGGCAGACTGCCATTCTCGACAGCAGTTCAAGCGTGGCGTCGTTATCCACTCTGCCGTTCCTGATGACACCGCAGTGTCCGTGGTCGGTGAACTCGTCGAGGCACACGTCGGTGATCACGAGCATGTCCGGTGCCGTCTGCTTGATGACCCGGATAGCTTCCTGTATGATGCCGCTCGGCTCGTAGGCTTCCGTCCCCTCCGCGTCCTTGCTGGCAGGAAGGCCGAAGAGGAGAACTGCCCCAATTCCAAGAGAAACCACCTCATCTATTTCCGGTATGAGATTATCGAGTGAAAGCTGGTACATTCCCGGCATGGGATCGATCGGGTTTCGGACGCCTCGCCCATGAGTAACGAAGATGGGGTATATGAAATCGCTGATCGATATTCGCGTCTCCTGAGCAAGACTGCGCAGTACAGACGCTTCACGCATTCGACGCATTCGAACCTGTGGGAATCTACTCATCCTTCACATCCTCCTCGAAGTGGGATTCGACCGCTTCAATAAGTCCCGCGATGGTGTGTTCCGCCGCCACTATGTCAACCTTCAAGCCTAGATCAGCTGCGCGTTCCGCCGTTATGGGGCCTATACACGCAATCGTAGCATCTTTCAGGGCATCCGTGTTCCCGCCCAGCAGTTCAACAAGGTTGCTGACCGTGGATGAGCTTGTGAAAGTGGCGATGTCGATGCCGCCTGAGATAATCTCTTGTAGTCGCTCTGCTGTATCAGGCGGTGTCACTGTTCGATACACTGCGATGGCGTGAACGCTCGCGCCACGTTCAGCAAGTCCGGCGCGCATCAGATCCCGAGCGATCTCGGCTTGGGGCAGCAGCACGCGCTTGCCGTCCATACCGAGCGCATTGAGTTCGGCAACTGCCGATTCTGCGACAAAGGCTGTCGGAATGAAGTCGGCAATGATGTTGTACGCAAGCAGGCGGCTCTTTGTCGCGGGACCGATTGCGGCAATTTGAACGCCGTACAGCGCTCTGGGGTCTAGGTCAAGCGCCTGCATTCGCTCGAAGAAGATATTTACGGCGTTGGCGCTGCTGAAGACAACCCAGTCGTATGTACCTGCGTTTTTCAGCGCTCCGTCAAGTTCGGCGTAGTCGTCAAGTGGCTGAATCTCGATTGTCGGCAACTCGACTGGCTGTGCGCCCTGTTGCGTCAGCATATCTGATAACGCGCTTGCCTGCGTGCGCGTGCGCGTAACCAGCACTCGCTTGCCAAAGAGTGGTCGATTGTCGAACCATCGTATTGCATCGCGCAGTCCTACTACATCGCCGACAATCGTCACGGCGGGCGCGCCAATGCCAGCGGCGGCTGCTCTGTCGGCGATGTCCGAAAGCGTGCCTACCAGTGTGCGTTGATATGGCTCGGTTCCCCACTGCACAAGCGCGACAGGCGTTTGAGGTCCGCGTCCATAGCGCACAAGCGCATCCGCTATGACACGCAGGTTGCTCTGACCCATCAGCACCGCTAGAGTATCGCTGCTCTTCGCCAGCGCCTCCCAATCGACAGATGTGTCCGGCTTGGTTGGGTCTTCGCTGCCGGTTACGACCGTGAAAGACGATGCGAGCTTGCGATGCGTCAGTGGAATGCCCGCATACGCCGGAGCTGCGATCGCCGATGTGATGCCCGGCACTACCTCAAAGCGAACCCCGGCATCCACCAGCGCCTCCGCCTCCTCGCCGCCACGCCCGAACACAAACGGGTCGCCGCCTTTGAGACGCACAACGCTCTTGCCCGCTATGCCTAGCTCCACAAGCAGCCTGTTGATGTCTTCCTGTCGGTTCACTCGTCTGCCGGGTATCTTGCCTACATCGGTCAAGATCGAGTCATCGCGCGCATGATCAAGAAGCCTACCGTCCGCCAGCCTGTCATACACTATGGCGTCGGCGGACTGGATAAGGCGCAGCCCCTTCACGCTGATAAGCTCCGGGTCGCCCGGACCTGCGCCCACCAGCCACACTACGCCTTCACTCATAGCGTCTCCAGAATCTGCGCTGCGCCAGTGTCCAATAACGCTGCGGCTACCGATTCCCCCGCGGCGATAGGGTTCCCTGAGTCATAGAGTTTCACGATACGATAAATCTCGCTGCCATCCGGCTTTGCTACCATAGCCGTAATACGCAGCTTGTCGCCCTGAAACTCCGCGTATGCTGCGGTCGGCACAGTGCATCCTCCGCCCATAGTCTCAAGGAACGCTCGCTCAGCGCGAACGGCGGTGCTTGTAGGCAAATGGTCGATCGCTCCGACACACTCAAGCATCTCGCTGTCCGATTCGCGCACCTGCACCGCCAGCGCCCCCTGACCAACATCAGGCACGCATTCCTCAGGTGACAGATAGGAGCTTATTTCGGCTCCCCGTCCAAGGCGTATGATCCCCGCCGCCGCAAGCACGGCACCATCATAATCGTCACTCATCGCCCTGCTCATGCGCGTATCGACATTGCCTCTTATAGGCAGTATTTCTAGATCTGGACGGGCAACCTTTAGCTGGGCGGTGCGGCGCGGACTGCTAGTGCCAAGCCGGGCACCCGATGGAAGCTCGCTCAGTGGCGCACTCCACCGGTTCACGAGCACATCCCGCGCGTCCTCACGCTCCGGGAATGCTGCAATCGCGAGGCCGGGTGGCGTTGCCGCAGGCATGTCCTTTGCGCTGTGAACGGCGATGTCGATGTCGCCATTGAGCAGCGCCAACTCAATCTCCTTGACGAACATGCCGCGTTCCATGCTCAGGAGGGGCGCTGCTTTATTCCTGTCGCCTCGTGTGGACAGAGGGACAATCTCAATATTGAGGGAGGGGTGTGCCTGGAGCAGCAGGCGCACTACTTCGTTGGTCTGCGCCAGCGAAAGGGAACTCGACCGCGAGCCGATGACGACTCGTCTTGCGTTATCCACCAGCCTCGGTCAGGAACTTGCCCCTGCCTTGGAGTAGGCAAGGGCTTTCTTTTCTTCCCACATCTTGCAAACGCCGGACTCACATTCGCAGCCGACGCCCTTCATCAGATCATCCAGTAGCGTAGAGCGGGCTTCTCCGTACCTGCCGTCCAGCACCGTTTCCAGCAGGTTGTCGGTGATGCATGCCTGCCAGTGGTCCGTAGCCAGAGTGATGCCCTTGCTGCGAATCTCGGAGCGCACATCAGCCAGAAGTGGAGTGAGTTCGGCATAGTCCATCAGAGGATGGCTCGATTCGATGGGGCTCCCGTCGAGCAGCTCGCGGAACTTGCGCGCCAGGGCCGGGCTTGCCCCTCCGGTCGATGCGGCAACGGTGACATCGCCGCGAATTGCCACTGAAGGGGCGATGAATGTGCAAAGATGAGTAACATCCACGACATTCAGCAGCACGTTCCGTTCCTTCGCCTCCGCGGCTATTGCGCGGTTCACCTTATTGTCGTCAGTGGCTGCGATAGCGATGAACGCATCTTCGAGGTCACCGGCTTGGTATTCACGCTTGTGCCAGACAATCCTATCGTCGTTCGCAAGGCTGCTAACGCCCTCGTTCACCTCAGGGCTGATAACTACCACACTTGCGTCGCAATCGAGCAGCTTGACGACCTTTTCCTCGCCGATGTTGCCGCCGCCGATTACGACGCAGCACCTGTTCTTAACATCTATGAATGCCGGATAGTACGCAGGCATTTATGTCCTTCCTGTCCTCTCAATGTCATTCCGTGTCGGCGCGTCTGATCGCCAATTCCACATTCTCTACACGAAATACCTTACTCGCGTCTTCTTGTACTCGCGCGTGCTGTACAGCAGCTGATACTCCGAAATGCCTGTGGCTTCAGAGAGTTCTGCCGCCACATCCTCGCAGGTATCCTGGGATGTGGCATGAATCATCGTGAAGTGCGTGTATGGCCAATCGGGGAATGTCGGGCGCTCGTAGCAGTGCGTAACCCAGCGTGACTGCGCCATAATGTTGCCCCACTTCGATGGCGCGTTCAGACGGCACCTTCCAGACAGCCATCGCGTTCGACCTGAAGCCTGCTCGCCTATGATGCAGCACGGCGCTGAAACGCCGCATAAGACTGCGTTCTTGCAACGAGTCCGCGATATCGAAAAGCTCTTGCAATGGTATGCCTAGCCGCTCTGCCATCGGACTGAAGGGACGGGGAGTCAACTCCACATCCTCTTGCAGTTCGCGGATAACTTCAATCTCGAAATCGGTTATGGGCATCGCTTTGTTCCAGTTCTGCCCGTCCGCGCGGTCGTAACCGTCGGGACTGTAATATTTCTTTGCCGCGCCCTCCTCCTTCACCATATCGAAGTTCACACCGATCTTGAAGAACTTAATGGTCGGCATCAGGCGGTACGACTCGGCGCCAGTTCTGCTTGCCATATCTTCTACCGTCTCGGCGAGGTCCTCGTATGGCGGCACTGCGACAGTGAACCAGAGATTGAAGTGCCCGTTGCGTGCGTAGTTGTGGCTGACTCCGGGATGCACGTTGATAATCTGCGCCGCCGCATCCAGTTCATCCGCCGGAAGGCGCATCGCCACCAGAGTTGTCTTGTAGCCAAGCCGTCGCGTGTCGAAGATGGCGCTTATCTGGCGCACCACATTCTTGCCCTTTAGCTCGCCTATGCGCTCGATTACCTCTTCCTCTGGCAGCTCTACCTCATCTCCGATTTCGGCGAAAGGCATTTCGACCAGTGGAAAGCGTGTCTGGATGATGTTCAGAATCTTGCGGTCAACAAGGTCCATCGTCGTTGTGCTGCCCGGTGTACTGATTGTCATTTGCACTCTCGCATGTATGCGGCCCGCCGCCAGATGTCAACGCACCGGCGCATAGACGCAAATCAAGCATCTACGGCGCCTATTATCGCAGTTTTCACGCTGCTCTTGCAACGATTGCCCTTGCACCGCGAAATGGAGACGGCGGTGAAACTCGGTCGCGTCCATCGCAGGGCACGGATTTTCTGCAATTTTGGTCAGCGCACCTGCCCGGCTAGTCAAAGCTGCGAATTTATATGAAAAGCTCAAGTTTCTGTGCTAACCTTTTCTGGAGAGGAGCGGGGTTTGTTTTCTGCGGGCAAGTTCTGGATTGGGCTGGGGCTGAGTGTGCTGCTGGTCGCGCTGTTTTTTGTGACAGTGGATGTCGGTAACATGACAGAGGCGCTCGCGAGTGCCAACTACCTGTATGTCGCGCCGGCTGTGGGACTGTACCTGGTGGGTGTAGTCTTCCGGACGATACGCTGGCAGGCGCTGCTGCTGCATATCAAGCATGTGAGCAACCGCCGCCTTTTCCCTGTGGTGGTCATAGGGTATATGGCGAACAATCTGCTTCCGATGCGCCTTGGCGAGGTGGTGCGGAGCTACTACCTTGGGGAGCGAGAGCAAGTCAGCAAAAGTTCCGCCCTTGCGACGATATTCATAGAGCGGGTCTTTGATGCGCTGACACTTTTGCTGTTCGTGGCTGTGGTGGCTCTGTTCGTGCCGGTGAGCGGAGTTGCAGCAGGTTTCGGAGCGCAGTGGGGGATTTCGCCTGCGCTGCTAGCTGCTGGTTTCAGCCTGCCTTTCGTGGCAGCGTTCTGTGTTATGTTGCTCATGTCGCGCTGGCCCGAAAGGACACGCGCGCTGGCGCTTACGATGATGAAGCCGCTGCCGGAGCGGTTTCCGCATGAGCGCGCGCGGCACATCGTTGAGTACTTCCTCGCGGGGTTCGCGCCTCTTTAGCAGTCTGCGGACGATTGCGCTGCTATTCGTACTTTCGGTGCCGGTCTGGGGCTTCGAGACCGGCCTGTTCTTTCTCATAGGCTTTTCCTTTGACTTCCACCACATCTATGACAACCTGTGGCAACTTGCGGCTGCGATGGTTCTGGTCACTGCGCTGGCGAATATCGGCAGTTCCGTGCCGTCCTCGCCCGGCGGCATCGGCCTGTTCGAGCTGATAGCGCGCGAAACGCTGGTTCTGCTGCCGCTTGCGGTGGTGGACAGATCCGAGGCGGCGGCGTTTGCGGCTGTGAGCCACTTTGCGCTGCTGCTTCCGATGATAATTCTTGGGCAGGCGTTCCTGTGGGCAGGGAACCTGTCGCTAAAACGGTTGGCACGAGCGGACACGAGCAGTTAACAGCCTCAGAGCCTATTCGTAGCGCAGAGCGTCTATGGGGTGCATTCGTGCGGCTCTCAGGGCAGGATAGATGCCGGATACCAACCCGACGATTGCTGATACGGACAAGGCGAGAATTGCGACATCTGGGTGAAACACCAGGCCTTCTATCGTGTTGCCTCCGCGATTGCCCACATTACTGACTATCAGATTGGTCAGCGGCGAAAGGCCGAGGGATAAGGCGATGCCTATGAGCCCCCCCGCTGTTGTCAGGAAGACGGCCTCGGTCACGAATTGGAACAGGATGTCGCGGCGCTTTGCTCCCATCGCTTTGCGGATGCCTATTTCGCGCGTGCGCTCGGTTACGGACACGAGCATGATGTTCATAACGCCTATTCCGCCGACGAGCAGCGATATGCCCGCGACCGTGCCGAGGAACAGCACAAGCACGGTCGTCACCTGATTGACGGTCTCGATAAGGTCCTGAAGGGTGTCAATCTCGAAGTCGTTCTCGTCGGTAATGTGATGACGCAGTCGCAGGATGGATGCGATTTCCAGTTGGGCGTCGTCTATCGCTTCCTGGCTGACTGCCTGCACATCTATTGAATTGACGCTGATCTCGCCCTGCGTTGTGCGCTGGCGCGACAGGCGATGATGAGCGGTGCTGATCGGCACAAAGACTTGGCTGCCGAAGCCGAAGAATGTCGCGCCTGTGTCTTCAAGCACGCCGACCACGGAAAATTGGCGGCCGTTGATGCGTATGCGCTCATTGAGTGGATCCCGAGTGCCGAACAGCGTCTCGGCGACAGACGCGCTGATGACGGCGGCATCCAGGTTGTTCTGTACATGCGCGGGGTTTATGAACTGACCTTTATCCACGTTCACATTGCGAACGGAGGCGTAGCCCGACGTCACTCCGATGATCTGTGCGCTCGTGTTTTCCCTGCCTGCCACAATCTGTGCGTTCGAGTTGATCTGGGGCGCGACAGCCTTTACTGATGGCGCGAATATGGGGTCTATGAGTGCTTCGGCATCTTGTAAGGTGAGGGTCGCGGCCCCACCGTCGTTGCTTGGCCGAACGAACAGCAGGTTCGTGCCCTGTGATTGGATCCTGGAGGTGATGTTCTGCTGTACGCCCCTGCCAATGGACATGAGAACCGTTACGGCGGTTATGCCGATTATGATGCCGAGCAGGGTCAAGCCTGAGCGGAGCTTGCTGCTTCCGAGCGAGTGCAGCGCCGTTATGATGATGTCGAGCGCGTTCATTGGCGCTGCACCGTCATCTCGCTCGTCATCAGCCTGGCGTTGTCGGATACAATCAAGCCGTCGCGCATAGTGATTATGCGTTCTGCGCGCGCGGCAATGTCAGCTTCGTGCGTTACGATGATGACGCTTATACCCTCGCTGTGCAGTTGTTCGAGTATCTGCATAATTTCCTCACCGGAGCGCGAATCGAGGTTGCCGGTGGGTTCGTCCGCGAGCAGGATGTCGGGCGACTTCACGAGCGCCCGCGCGATGCCTACGCGCTGCTGCTGGCCGCCCGAAAGCTCGGTGGGCTTGTGGCTCATGCGATCGCCAAGCCCGACCCTTTCCAACGCTTCCTGCGCCGTTCTGCGGCGATTCCTGTGATTGCCGTACATTAGCGCAAGCTCTACATTGTTCAGCGCGCTTATGCGAGGCAGCAGATTGTATGTCTGGAATACGAAGCCAATCTTGCGGTTGCGTATTTCGGCGAGGCGGCTGTCCGAGGTCGCGCCAATGTCCTCACCGTCCAATATGTAGGTGCCTGATGTCGGCACGTCGAGGCAGCCAAGAATGTTCATTAGCGTTGACTTGCCGGAGCCGGACGCGCCCATAATTGCGACAATCTCGCCCCGTGCGATGGACAAACTGACTCCGGCAAGTGCCGGCACTTCGACACTGCCCATCGTGTAAATCTTCGTTACATTCTCGATTTCGATCATATTGATCACTGACATGGCAATGGGCGCTTGGGGTTGCTATGACTCGCTGCCGTTAGCGCTGCGGTGGCCTGCCGCCGGCTCCTCCGCCTGGCGGTCTTCCACCACCACTGCCGCGGAATCTGAACTGACCGCCATCTTCGAGCTGGCTATCGTCAAGCACTTGCATCACTATTCGTTCGCCCTCGCTAAGGCCATCTTCAACGATGGCGAAGAATCCATCGCTGCTGCCCAGCGTGACGGGACGCTGTATTATTGCGCCGGATTCGTCCTGCATGCGCACATAAGCGCCCTCGTCGCCGTACGATACTGCTTGCAGCGGGATTACTATGCCGCGTTCCTCGCCGGCGACAGCCCTGGCGACGGCGCTCAAGCCTTCCTGCAGTGTTACGTCCTCAGGTATGACCACCTCAATCGCTACCTCGAAAGTCACGACGCCCTGTTCGTTCGTGGCTGTGGAGCTAATGTTGGTTATGACGCCTTCAATCATCTGGTCTGGCAGCGCGTCAATCGTAACGGTTACGGAGATTCACGTTTCAGCGAGAGGACATCGATCTCGTCAACGCTGCCCTCCACATTGACGATGCCGGAATTGATGACCGTCAGGATTACCTCGAAAGATTCAATATCCTGCCCAGTTTCCACCGGAATCGAGGAGATGTAGCCGTCCCAGGGTGCTTTTAGCGTGGAGTCTTCGTACCGGCGCATGGCGCCGGCTATTTTTGCCTGCGCCGCCGCCACGGTCGCTTCTTGCAACGCGATTTGCAGCGCGCGGCGGTCGTGAATCTCCTGCAAGTCCTGCGCTGCACGGTCTCGTCTGGCTTGCGCAACCGCTACTTCGTTGAGCAGAACGGCAACCTCCGCCTCGCCCGGGTTTAGCAGGGTGTTCAACAGATAGGCCGCATCATCCCGGTTCGCCTGTGCCAGCGTGAGCTTGTTGCGCAGGCTCGCCACTTCCACAGCATCGGCATTGAGCAGGTCTTCGAGGTCCTGCCTTGCCCTGTTCAGGTTCTCGCGGGCGGCAGCGAACTGCTTCTGGAGCAATTCATCGCCGACCGTTTCCTTTTCAAGATTATCGCGCGTATTCTCCGCGGCTTCCACCGCAAGTCTGGCGCTCTCCACTGCAGCTTCGGCGTTGGACAGTCTTTCGCCGTAGCTGGCGACTGTTGCGCTGAGGGATTTTCTTGCAAGATCAAGCGCATCGAAAGCGTTGTCCATGTCACGCCCGATGCAGAGTTCTCGGTTTGTATTGGTCGTATCCGATTGCTGGTTGACTAGTAGGGTGTTCCTGTTGCAGCTCACCTCAATCAGGCTTGCTCCCGGGTAGAGGCCGCGCCACGCGAATATGGTAAGTTCGTTCCAGCGCGTTTCCGGATTATCGGCAATCCTGCCATCGGGAAACAGGACGAACTTGCGGGAATAAACTTCCTCGGGGTCAAACGCCAGCGCCGCGAATAGGGCATCCGGAGCCATCGAAAGTTCGTCATTGGTTGGCTCTGCGCCGGTCCACTTCTTCACGACATTGAAGTAGTCCTTCCTTTCCTGGTCAAACGTTTCACGCGCTTCTCTGGTTTCATTGGAGTTTCGCACCACGTGGAGATTAAGAGAAGCGGCGGCAAGGTCTCGGTCTGCGGCGTCAATGTCGGCTATGGCGTCGAGATAGTCGTTGGCGAGGGAGTGTTCGCTGTCTCGAAGCGCGACCTGCGCTTGAGCGACGGCCTCTTCCGCTACGGCGACAGCCTCAGCGCTAGGGTTGACGGTGTCGTCGAGTGCCTCCTGTGCGTTCTGAATCTCCAGTTCTGAGTCCGCGAGGGACGATTCTAGCTGCGCCACGAGCTGAGGGTCGGGATAGACCAGATCGTCAAGGGCGGACTGCGCGTTCTGGAGTTCAATCTCAGCCATGGCGAGCGCGGACTCCGCTTCGGCAATCTGAAGAGCAGGCAATTGCGCGTCCGATAGCGCGTCTAATGCGTCTTCGTATTCCAATTGCGCCTCGGCGATTGCGCGCCGGAGGTTCGCCACGCTCTCAGGGTCTAGGCGAGCGAGTAGCTGCCCTTCCGAGACAATCTCGCCTTCGCTTACTAGGATTTCATCCACGAAACCAGGCGACCCAAAAGTCAGATCTTCCTTGTTGGAAAAAGTGATCCCGCCGTTGATTGAAATTTCTGTAGTCAGGCTGTCGACGCGTACAGGGATGAGACGCTCCGTGGGGGCGAGGCCGTCACTTTCGTCGCTTGCGAAGGGGTTGAGTCCGAGTGGGTTGAAGATGTACACGACTGCAGTGAGAACTGTGACTACAATCAGGCTTGCCAGAACTATAAGATGCCAGCTCTTCACCTGCCCTCCAAGAGCCTTCAACCCATTCATAGATCCACCTTTCGGACGGTCGGTTAAGGTCCGCATCAAATGAGGTCAGCACTGCGCGCTACGAAATTTCGTTCATCCAAGAGTATAACTGCGCTTGAAGCTTTTGGTTATACATACATACCCTTGAAAGCATGAATGAAAATGAGTGGCGGACGCTGATTGTGGATTTCGAGAGGCATCTGCGCGCGGAAAAGGATTTGGCGGATCTGACTATCCGTAACTACAAGGCGGACTTGCAGCCCCTCTACGACTACATGCGCCTGAAAAACATCGAAGATATGCCCGCGCTGGATCGTAAGACGCTGCGTGGCTATCTGGCATGGCTGACCGAACTGGGATATGTGCGGCACAGCGTTTCGCGCAAGCTGAGCACGCTGCGCTCGTTTCTGAAGTGGATGTCGAGCAAGGGCATCATTGAGGGAGACCCGCTGCCCAAGCGCGGTGTAATGCGCGTCCCTAAGAAGTTACCGCGCTTCCTGTCGCAGGAGCAGGCGGGGCGGCTGATGGACGCGCCCGACACCACGAAGCCAACAGGCTTGCGCGATCATGCGCTTCTTGAGGTCATCTACGGCGCAGGGCTGCGCGTCAGTGAAGCGAGCAATCTTCGTGTCACCGACCTGAATCTCTCCACGCGCGAGGTACGGGTCAGGGGTAAGGGCTCGAAGGAAAGAGTAGTGCTAGTCGGCCAGGTTGCGAAGAGCGCTCTCTCACTGTACCTTCGAGACGCGCGCCCCAAGCTGGCGGGCAAGAGCAGCGGCATGACGCTGTTCCTCAACCGATTTGGCGGTCGTCTCAGCCAGCGCAGCATCCAGGAGAAGGTGCGCCGCTACAGTGTTAAGGCCGCGTTGCCCTCCGGCGTGCATACGCATACGCTGCGGCACTCATACGCCACCCATCTGCTGGAGGGCGGCGCGGACCTGCGCGTGGTTCAGGAGTTATTGGGTCACGCCAGTCCCGCTACCACACAGATATACACGCATGTCACCAATTCGCAGGCTAGACAGGTCTATATGGCGGCGCATCCTCGCGCGCAGAGGACGGCGACCGACATGAATACTCAGGACGACGCGGCTGATTAGTCGATCATTTGGGCATCCGGCCTCCTGACAGATGGGTGGTGTTGTAGTGGTGCGGTATTGCCTAATCGCGGTCGTTAATGTAGAGTACGGCTCAAGTAAGCGACCTTCATATCGCCTTACTTTATGATGAGCTAAAGTCGCTCTTTGGGAAGACATTAACTATCGCAAGGAGGAATGTATGACTACCGCTACTCCGTCTGCCGCCTTCGGAGCCAGTATCAAGCGACGGGAAGACCCGCGTCTGATAACGGGCAGGGGCACTTATGTAGATGACATCAAGTTGGTGGGCATGTTGAACATCGTGCTAGTGCGCAGTCCATACGCCCACGCCAACATCACGAGCATTGACACCTCAGCAGCGAGTGCCGTTGACGGCGTCGTCGCAGTTTATACTGGCGAAGACCTGGCAGAGCAGCTCGGTTCGCTGCCGTGCGGCTGGGTCGTGCCGGACACGATTGAGGTGCCGCATCCGCCGCTGGCAATCGGAAAGGTGCGCTGTGTGGGGGACGCCGTTGCCGCGATTGTCGCCGATAATCCTACTGCGGCCAGTCGATGCTGCCGCTCTGGTGGATGTCGGCTATGATGTGACTGCCCGCCGCCGTGAATGCCGAGGCAGCCACGAAAGATGGTGCGCCTCAGGTTCATGACGATGCGCCGAACAATGTTGGCTTCGAGTGGGAAGTCGGAGGTGGCGACGTTGACGCTGCCGCCGCGAGCGCTGAAGTGCGAGTCTCTGAGCGCATAGTGAACCAGCGACTCATCCCCAACTCCATGGAGGGCAGGGCAGTCGTCGCCGACTACAACCCTGGCACCAATCATGTAACGCTGTGGACATCCTCGCAGATACCGCACCTTGTTCGCCTGCTGATGGCGCTGGTCACTGGACATCCGGAGCATCAGATTCGAGTCATCTCGCCGGATGTGGGCGGCGGCTTCGGCTGCAAGCTCTACCTTTATGCCGAAGAGGTCATCGCGTTCGCCATAGCGAAGGCGCTGGGTCGTCCGGTCAAGTGGACTGAAGAGCGGCAGGAGAACTACCTCGCCACTACGCACGGACGCGACCACATCGGCGACTGGGAGATTGTGGGCAACCGAGACGGCACCATAACGGGCATACGGGGCACTGTATATGCCAACATGGGTGCATACCTGTCCACCTTCGCGCCGGCAATTCCCACGTACCTGTTCGGGCTTATGCTGGGGGGTCCATACAAGATAGAGAATGTGCATTGCAAGGTCATAGGCGTGTTCACGAATACGACACCTGTGGACGCATATCGCGGAGCGGGCAGGCCTGAAGCGACTTATGTTGTCGAGCGTATGCTGGACAGGTTCGCCGCGGAGATTGGCATGGATCCAGTGGAAGTCCGGCGCAAGAACCTCATCCCGCCGTTCGAGGACGGTTACGATGTCGCGACGGGCGTTACTTATGACAGCGGTAACTACGAGAAGGCGCTCGATCTTGCACTCTCGATGCTGGGCTACGAAGATTTCCGCAAGGAGCAGGAGGAAGCCCGCAAGAATGGCAGGTACATCGGTGTTGGCCTATCAACCTATGTCGAGATTTGCGGTATGGCTCCCTCCGCGGTCGCCTATGCGCTCGGCGCAAGGGCCGGCGTATGGGAGAGTTCGCTCGTACGCGTGCACCCGACCGGCAAGGTAACGGTGTACAGCGGCGCGTCCGGACACGGACAGGGACACGAAACGACATTCGCGCAGTTGGCGGCATCCGAGCTTGGCGTTCCGATCGAGGATGTCGGGGTCGTTGAGAGCGACACCGCGCAGGTGCAGCAGGGAACGGGCACTTTCGGCAGCCGCAGCGCGGTTGTCGGAGGCACTGCCATTCACATGAGCGTGGAGAAGATTAAGGACAAGGCAAAGCAGATTGCCGCCCACATGTTGGAAGCATCGCCCGAAGACATCGTCTATGAGGACGGGCAACTCTTCGTGCAGGGCGCGCCCACAGAGGCAAAGAGCTTCCAGGAAGTCGCTTTGGCGGCCTATTGGTATGACGGCTTGCCTGAGGGCTTGGAGCCTGGCTTGGAAGCCACAAGTATCTATGACCCGAAGAACTTCACATGGCCGTTCGGCACGCACATCTGCGTGGTCGAAATTGACCCCGACACGGGCGATACAAAGGTGCTGCGCTATGTCGCCGTTGACGACGTTGGCAATGTCATCAACCCGATGATTGTGGAGGGCATGGTGCATGGCGGCGTGGCTCAGGGTCTCGGACAGGCGCTCTGGGAAGAAGCCGTCTACGACGACGACGGGCAGCTCATAACCGGCAGCATGCTTGACTACGCAGTGCCACAGGCGGCAAGCCTGCCGTCATTTGAGACGGCGCGCACGGTGACTCCGTCGCCGACAAACCCGCTCGGCGTCAAGGGCGCGGGCGAAACTGGCACGATAGCGGCATCACCGGCAGTCATCAACGCTGTCGTGGACGCGCTGTCGCCCTTTGGCGTGAGGCACATCGACATGCCTGCAAAGGCCGAAAAGGTGTGGCGGCTGATTCAGGAGTCACAGGGCAGCTAGAACGGCACTCTTTCCATAGAATTAGAACGATAGGATAGTGACAAGGGGCAGGCATATCTGATGACCTGCCCCTTTCAGTTGGCAACCGCTTTTGAGCTATAGGTCTTAGCTATTGGATGGAAGGGACACAGTTGGAACAGCGGGACGACCCAATCAGGGATATTCTGGACAGGCTTGCGTCCGAGGACTATGTCGGCGATCCGGCGATTGCCACATCCATCTACTTGGCGCAGACGCTTGAGCGCCCTCTGCTCATAGAGGGGGCGCGCTGGAGTTGGCAAGACGGAAATCGCTAATGTTATGGCGCGTCTGCTGGACACGCGGCTCATCCGTCTTCAGTGCTACGAGGGGCTGGATGTCTCCACAGCGCTTTACGAATGGAACTACCAGCGACAGATGTTGTGGATTAAGCTTAATGAACAAGGTGGACACTCAGCAGAAGAGCAGGAAGAGCACATCTTCAGCGACTCTTTTCTTCTGAAGCGCCCGCTGCTTGCGGCTTTGACCGAAGAAGAGAAGTCGCCCGTGCTGCTGATTGACGAGGTTGACCGCGCCGACGAAGAGTTCGAGGCGTTCCTCTTGGAAGTGCTGTCCGACTTTCAGGCGACGATACCGGAGATAGGCACCATCAAGGCGAAGCACCGACCGTTCGTAGTGCTGACGTCCAATCGTACACGTGACCTTTCGGATGCGCTGCGCCGCCGCTGCCTGTACCTGTGGATCGACTACCCGGACATCGACAAGGAGTTGCGCATTGTGCGCTCCAAGGTAAACGGCATTGATGACAGGCTCGCGCGGCAGGTCGTGCGCTTTGTGGACAACGCGCGGCGCACCGGGCTGGACAAAGTGCCGGGCATCGCCGAGACGCTCGACTGGGCGCGCGCTATGGTAGTGCTGCACCTCGACCATCTCGACTACGATGCCGTGGAGCAAACCCTCGGAGCAATCATCAAGGATGCGGACGACCTGGAACGCTTCCGCAAGCAAGCGATTGAAGAGATTCTGAGCAAGATTTAATGGCACATTACAGCAGACTTTGCGCGATCATGATTGACTGTCCGCCCGATAGGATGGATGCAGGTGTGGACTTCTGGAGTAAGGCACTCACCATGCCGCCACGCACCGGCGAGGATGCGTCCAATCCCTACGTCTTTCTCCAAGGGCACGCCGGAGGATTCTTTGTCGTGCTGCAACGAGTTGAGGCGGATGCCAGAGTGCACTTGGACTTCGAGACGGACGATGTAGAGGCGGAGGTGCAGCGACTTGAGGCTTTGGGAGCGCGGCGTCGAGAAAAGATGGATTCGTTGTGGATTATGGGAGCGCCGAGTGGGCACGTGTTCTGCGTTGTTCCACCTCAGTCTGACGATTTCCCGGCGGGCGCTAATCTGTGGGATGACTGATCTGGCCGTAAGGAAATGATCTTGCATTGTTCTTGATGCCGTGCAGCGCAAATGGAGGGCAGTATGAGTATTTTGAAACGAATCGCGGCTATCTACCTCATCGCGGTGTCGGCCTTGGCAGGATTACATTGGATTATCACACCGCTCTACGACAATAGCAGCGGCGACTACCCCGTCTGGGTCATTCTGAACTGGTTCATGGCTTCGACAATAATCGTGGCGCTTGACAGGAACATCCGCAGCAAATTAGCGCTCAGGGGTAGTGACCCCGATGCACCTCTGACCGGCAGGCGAGTACAGGCCAACTTACTTTTCTATGCGACTATCGTGCTGACGCTGTGGTTTTTCTGGAACTGGTTTTACGGCTTCTTCCCTCAGAACGAACCGGAGGTAGTCGGGCTGGTACACCTTGAGATGTGGACACTTATAAATCCGTTGTTCTTACTGACGATAGGCGTGACAGGATTCAACCTATGGCAGGAAGCCGGAGACACTCCAAGTTAATCTCAGAGGATGATTACTCTTACTGAAAGGTCTGCATTATGCCAAGAATGACGGGAAAGCGCGCACTGATGGAAATGTTGCGTGCAGAGGGCGTTGAGTACATATTCGGCAATCCGGGTACAAGCGAAGGTCCTATTCTGGATGAGCTGGAGAACTACCCGGACATCCGCTACATGCTCAGCACCCAGGAAGGTGCAGCCATGGGAATGGCAGACGCTTATGCGCGGTATCGCGGCGAACCTTCATTCGTCAACCTGCACATTGAGACGGGCCTCGCCAACGGCATAAGCCTGTTAGCCAACGCTGCTGAGGGCAGCACACCTCTCGTGCTGACCTCGGCGAACAAGGACATCCGCAAGCTGGCGGAAGGGCGCACAAATCTGGTCGAAATGGTCAGCCAATTCTGCAAGTGGAGCGCAGAAGTTACTCACCCTGAACAGGTGCCGGGCGTGTTGCGGCGCGCCTTCAGCGAAGCCAAGACTCACCCGATGGGTCCCGTATATGTCGCATTCTCCGCCAACGCGCTGGACGACGAGGCGGATGTCGAGATTGTGCCGTCCCATAAGACATACGGGCGCATCGCACCGGACACCGACGCGATTGATGCCGCGGTAGGCATTTTGGCAGACTCCGAGAATCCAGTGCTTATTGTGGGCGACGGAGTGGGGCAGTCGGGCGCATCTGCCGAGGCGGTGCGTCTCGCGGAGATGCTGGGCGCCAAGGTGTATGCAAGCTTCTACTCGCAGGTGAACTTCCCGACAAGCCACCCGCAATTTCTGGGCCTTGCCAACCCCGGCATGCCGGCAGGCAAAGCGTTATTGGAAGATACCGAAGCGGTGGTCGCTGTCGGAACGCCCGTATTTCCGGGGTATTTCTATTTCTCCGGCAGCGCGCTCAAGCCAGATACAAGACTGATACACATCGATTCTGATGCAACGCAAATTGGCAGAACCGAACCTACCGATGTTGGCATCGTTGCGGACCCGCGCACGGCGATGACGGCGCTATCGGACGCGCTGGAACTACGAATGTCCGGCGCGGCGAAGGAGTCGGCAATAGGTCGCGCGGCTTCCGTAGCGGAAGAGAAGGCGGCACAAGACGCGGCATGGCAGGCGCGCCTCAATGCGCGGCAAGACATCAGTCCGATGTCAACGGAGCGCATGATGACCGAGATTGCCGCCGCTCTGCCGGACGACGCGATCATCGTTGATGACTCCGTCACTACACGCGCCTCCGTGTTCGGCGCGCTCGACTTTGATGAACCCGGAAGCCTGCTGGGTATCACTGGCGGCGCGCTTGGCTGGGGAATGGGTGGCACTATGGGCGTGAAGATGGCGAATCCCGACCGTCCTGTGATTGGCATCATAGGCGACGGCAGCGCGATGATGACAGTTCAGGCACTGTGGACGGCAGCGAATGCCGACATTCCCGTAGTGTATGTCATCTGCAACAATAGGGCGTATCGCGTGCTCAAGTTGAATATGAACCTCTACAAGAGCGAGATTCTCCAACAGGAAAACCCGACTAGCGAGTATATCGCCATGGACTTCCCCACGCCGTTCGATATTGCAGCGGTCGCTGAGGCGATGGGCGTGTACGGGCGCAAGGTCGAAGACCCCGCTGAAATTGGAGCGGCTCTGCGAGATGCACTGGCTCTGGGCAAGCCCGCTGTTCTCGATGTGTCCATCGACGGCGCTGTGTAACCTCGCATTCGTGTGTCAATTGACGCTTTAACAGACACTGCATTTCGTTGTAATATGGCGTTGAGGAAATGCGATATGCGCCATATACTTCACGCGGACTTTGATGCCTTTTACGCTTCCGTTGAGCAGTTGGACAACCCCACGCTGCATGGTAAGCCTGTCGTAGTTGGCGGCAGCGCAGAGGGGCGTGGCGTGGTCGCTTCCGCATCCTACGAGGCGCGTGAATTCGGCGTGCGCTCCGCAATGCCAATGCGCACTGCTCAGAGGATGTGCCCTCAGGCGATCCGCGTCGGCGCTCGCTTCGACCGCTACCGTGAAATTTCCCAGGGCGTCATGTCCATCTTCCGCGACCTGACTCCTCTTGTTGAGCCGCTGTCGCTTGACGAAGCGTATCTCGACGTGACAGCCGTTGTAGATAACGGACGGCAACCGCCGGAAATTGCGGCTGACCTCAAGCGGCGCGTAAAGTACGAGTTGGGATTGACCATATCGGTGGGGGTAGCGACGAGTAAGTCGATCGCCAAGATTGCCTCGGATATGGACAAGCCTGACGGTCTGACTGTGGTTGCCCTTGGAGAGGAGCGGGCATTCTTAGCGCCATTGCCAATAAGCAAGTTATGGGGCGTCGGGCCAAAGACTGCTGAAAGGCTCATCGCCGAAGGCGTCGAGACTATTGCAGACATCGCGGGATGCGACGAAGAATGGCTGCGCGAGAGGTTTGGCAGGCATGGTGCCCAAATGCAGCGGCTGGCGCTGGGACAAGACGACAGCCCCGTTGTTGTGCGCCGCGAAACGAAGTCGGTCAGCGCGGAGACGACTTTCGCAAGAGACACAGGTGATCCGGATGAGTTGCAAGAGGTGGTCAGTCGCTTAAGCCAGCGCGTAGCCAACCAGCTAAGGCGAAAGCAATTGCAGGGACGCACGGTAAAGCTGAAACTGCGTCTGTCAGACTTCACTACCTTCACACGCCAGCGCACACTACCCTATGCAGTGCAGTCCGCGGAAGACCTATCGCAATCTGCAGGTGAACTGCTCCGCGCCGAACTCTACGGCCGCCGACGCTTCCGGCTCGTCGGCGTTGGCGTATCCGGCTTTGAGCAGTCTGAGGAACTCCCGGAAGAGCCCCGCCAACTAAGGTTCTCAGGCTTCGGTTGATGGATACTAAGAAACTCCCCGCTGATTGCACCGTCCTCGCGCCCGACGGTTCCGAGATCAGGGAGCTTGTCGCTGTTAAAGGCGCGAGCATGGTGCACTGCACACTTCCGATCGGCACTGCTTCAATGGCAGTTGCACACAGAACGGTCGAAGAGGTCTGGTACTTCATTCAAGGACAGGGGCAGGTCTGGCGCAAATGTGAAGCTGCCGAGTCTGTGGTCGAAGTAGAGCCGGGCGTCTCCCTCAGTATCGAAGTTGGGACGCACTTCCAGTTCCGCAACACAGGCGATGATGACCTGTGCTTCGTAATCGTCACCATGCCGCCCTGGCCCGGCGAACAAGAAGCCGTGCGAGTGGACGACTACTGGAAATGACCGTCTTGCACTAAACAATCACTCCTTGTCTCCGAAGCTCGGGCAGCTCGCCGGGCGAAACATCCAGCAAACCCGTAAGAATGTCGTCCGTGTGCTCGCTGTACAGCGGGGCGGGTTTGACGTCCACGGGAGACTTCTCCAACTTGACCGGGCAACCAATCATCTGGTAGTTTCCGCGCGCCGGGTCATCCACATCCACAATCATCTCGCGTGCTGCCAGGTGCTCGTTTGACAGCACCTCTTCCGGGCTCATTACAGCGCCGCACCATACACCCGCTTCAGCCAGAGCCCTCATCGCTTCGTACTTATCGTGCTTGCTCGTCCACCCACTTACGATTTCCAGCACCTCGTCTCCACGCCCTGCTCTATTTTCTCCGTGAAGTATCGCTCGTCACCAATCAGGTCAGCGCGTCCGATCACCGCCAGTACTGTCTCCCAGAGAGCGCCTGCAATATGAATCATCACATAGTCGTCCGAGCCTCCGGGATAACAGGGGAATATCATTGGAACGCCTCTGCCGCCGCGGTCGCCGGGGCGCTCATTTGGTGTGGCTATTGACAGGCTGCGAATGAGTCGATAGCGCATCAGGTTGACGATGCCGTCCTGCATCGAGACTTCCATGTGCTGCCCTTCACCCGAATTGTCGCGCTGCCTTAGCGCGGCGAGGATGCCGATGGCAGTGTGCAAGCCAGTGCCGGAGTCGCCGGCGCCAATGGGAGATGGTATAGGCGGGAGGTCTGGATAACCGTTGGAAGCGATTGCACCGCCCGTTGCCTGCGCCGAAACCTCAAAGCTTCGGTAGTCGCTCCACGGACCGTACTCGCCGAAGCCCTTGATGCTGGCGTGGATAACCCGAGGGTTGATCTCATTCAGCCGAGCGTATCCGATGCCGAGCCGCTCCATCACGCCCTTCGAAAAGTTCTCCAGCACGACATCAGCCCACAGCACCAACTTCTCGAAGAGCTGCTTGCCACGCTCATTCTTCAGGTTAAGCGTGATCGCGCGCTTGTTGTTGTTGAAGATGGTGTAATACACGCTGTCAACACCGTCTATATGAGCCTGTTCCCAGCGTGTGTTGTCGCCTCCCACAGTGTCCTCTATCTTTATAACGTCTGCCCCGAGAAACGCGAGGAGTTGAGCGCACGACGGACCTGCCTGCACTCGGCTCATGTCCAAAATCTTGACTCCCGCTAGCGCCTTGTCCATGTCGCACCTCTGCCTGTTGAGATTGTTCGTCAAGCTGGATTATATCAGGATGCGCCTAGACGTGAACCCACGAAACCACGGTATCCACGCGTAAAGTCTCCGATGTCCATCGCCTGCCGGCCTTCTGGTTGCACTCGTTGTATCAGCAGTATGCCTTCACCCGTTGCGACGCCAATGCCTTGGCCAATTCCTTGGTCAATCTCCACCACCGTGCCGGTGGCGAAGTCCTCATCGTTATCGAGCGGCGATGCCTGGTGCACTTTCAACTGCTTGCCGTTCCAGTGTGTGAATGTGCCGGGCCAGGGATGATAGGCGCGTATCTGCCGTGCAATATGGTGTGCAGGACGGGCCCAATCTATCTCGCCGTCCTCACGTCTGAGCAGTCTGGTAATCGTTGCATCGGCTTCGCTCTGTGGCACAGGCGCAAACTCGCCCGTCCGCCATCTCGGTAGCGTGTCGGCAAGCAATCGCGCACCCATCCCGAACAGGCGAACTGTGAGGTCTTCGGCGGTCTCGTTTACGCCGATCGTCGTCTCCCGTTGCGCGATGATTGGCCCCGAATCCATACCTTCGTCCAGTTGCATCAGGGTTGCGCCCGTAGTCGTATCGCCCTCAAGAATCGCAGTTGCAACGGGAGAGGGTCCACGATGCTTCGGCAGCAAGGATGGGTGAATGTTCAGCGCGCCAAGCGGCGGCACGTCAAGTGTATCGGCTGGCAGGAACAGGCCATACGCGGCAACTAATATCAAGTCAGGCTTCAGCGATACGAGCTGTTGCCTTGCATCGGCATCTCGACGCAGCGATGCCGGCTGGAAGACGGGCAAGTCGCGCTCAGTCGCAGCCTGCTTTACAGGGGGCGGTGTAACGCGTCTACCGCGACCGGAGCGGCGGTCAGGCTGCGTATAGACACCGACGATTTCACATCCCGCGTCTAGTAGCGAGACGAGTGTGGGAACTGCGAACACGGGCGTCCCCATGAAAACAGCCCGCAGTGGCGACAGTTCATGTCTATCAGTTCCCAACGCATTCTCCCGGCTCGCAGCACATTGCGAACTCCGATTCGATATTGCGGAAGCGCACTTCGTCGCCTCTCTCGACGCCGAATCGACTGATCTCTCCTGCGTTGATCTCAAATGTGTATGCCGCTGGGGATGAAGATTCGAAGATCTCCAATTCCGAACTTGGCGTGTCCGGTGGAGAGTGTTGCACATCCTCAGTCAGATCTACCACCGTGCAGTCCGCGCCAATCCACACGAAATCGAGCGGAAAGCGCATGCCCTTCATCCAGAAGGACGACGCCTGACCGCCGGAGAAGATGAACAGCATCCCGGTCTGTTCTGCAAGGCTGTCGCGCTCCCCCAATCCCTTGCTGCGCAACTCGGGCGTATCGGCGATCTCGGCGGCGAACTTCGCATCGCCGATGGTTATCGCTGGTCCTGTAGGAGTAGGAACTGGTGTTATCGTGGGCAAAAGTGTTGGTGTTGGCACTGCTGTGGATGTTGCGGTTGGCGCACGGGTTTGCGTCGCGGTTGGGACTGGCGATGTCGTGTGAGTTGCGGTCGCTTGTGGTGTGCTTGTCGGCAGGAGTGAGGCAAGTGCCACAGGTACAGAAGTGTGAGTTGGAATCACTTCAGACGTAACGGCAGCAGTCGGCTGCATCTGAGTCGTATCATTTTGCGATGTACAGGCTGTCATGCAAACTATGGCTGCTATAACAATGGCGGTCTGCAGAAGGGGAGCTAGCATATCACTACGCCAGATGCACCAAGGTCGCGCCGTCGCCCCCTCGCTCGCGGGCTTCGGCCTCGAATGAGCGAGCAAGCGGGTGGCGCGTCAGATGCTCGCGCACCACGTTTCGCAGGATGCCCTTGCCCCTGCCGTGAATTACGCGCACCGAATCGAAACCGTCCCGCACGGCCTTGTCGAGGAACAACTCCAGTTCGGCGAGCGACTCATCTGCGCGCTTTCCTCGGATATCCAACTCGGTGGAGTCGAGCATGGGGCCAATGTTGAAGCTCACCTCTGCTTTGGGCTGCTCGGGCTGATGTTCAATAAGCGACAGGCGCGATGGCTGCACCTGAATACGCACATTGCCTATGCCAACTTCCGCGTCGCTTCCGTTCTCAGGCAGCGATACAAGCATTCCGCCGAGATTGAGGCCTCGCACATATACCTTGTCCCCGACTGCAAGTTCCCGGTGCGTTTCGCGCGTGGGCGTTGGAGGTGGCAAAGTAGCGCGCTCCGCTTGCAGCTCCTCGCGAAGCCGACGGATATCCTCTCGCGTGCGGGTTGTCGGCACGCCGGCCGGCGAACCCCACGACAGCGCTGCCTCTGCGGCCTTGAGCTTGCGTTGCGCTTCATCGTATTGTGCAAGCATGTTACGGCGCATGCCATCCAGAATGTCATCGCGGTGGGTTACCAGATATTCTATCTGCTCATCGAGTTGCTGGCGCAGCGCATCTGCATTGGATCGCGAATGCTCCGCTTCTAGCAGCACCGTCTGCAACTGACTGCGCTCGCGCTGCAACTCTGTCAGCCAGTCCTCGAAGCGGAGATACTGCGGCTCTATCGCTCCCTGAGCATTCCGCAGAATATGTTCCGGCAAGCCTAGGCTTGAGGCGATTGCCATCGCATAGCTTCGCCCCGGTATTCCGAGTGTGAGGTGATAGGTCGGCGTCAGCGAATCGGCGTCAAGCTGCACGCTGGCGTTCATCATGCCGCTCGTAGTCTCTGCGTATGCGGCGACGTTGCGGTGGTGCGTGGTTACAATCGTTGACACTCTCTTGCCTGCGAGGTCCTCCAGGATAGCCCTTGCCAGCGCAGAACCCTCCTCAGCGTCTGTGCTCGTGCCAAGCTCATCAAGAAGCACAAGCGACTCCGGCGTCGCCTGCGCCAGAATGTCTATTACGGTGCGCATGTGCGAACTGAAGGTGGACACTGACTGCTCGATGCTCTGCTGGTCGCCCACATCGGCGTACACGCCGTCGAATACAGGTAGAACGCTGCCATCGTTCGCAGTTATCTGCAATCCTGCCTGGTGCATCAGTGCAAGCAGACCGACAGTCTTCATTGCCACGGTCTTGCCGCCTGTGTTCGGTCCCGTCACGACCAGCACCGACCAGTCGGGTCCGACGCTCACATTGACGGTACGGCATCCCTGCCCAGCAGTGGATGGCGTGCATTGATGAGACGGACAGCCATATCGCTTGCGAAGTTATGCTCCTCATCGGCATCGGATGGGGCGGCATTTGCCAAGTCGGCGTCTGCAGGGGACAGGGGTCTGACACCGCGGATGGAGTAGCTGTATCGTGCCCGGGCCATTATGAGGTCGAGATGCGCCGTCAGTTCGCTGCCTCGCTGTATATCCCGCGCAAGCTCGCCCACAAGCGTGGAAATGTCGCGCAGCACCTTGCGAATCTCCCGTTCTTCGGCAAGGGCAAGCTCTCGCCATGTATTGCCTATCTCCACCGTGGCGAACGGCTCAACGAACAGAGTAGCGCCGGTGTTGGATGCGTCGTGGACTATTCCTGGAAGCCTACTGCGCATCTCCGCCTTTACCTGTACGACGAGGCGGTCGTTACGGACGGATATGACATTGTCCTGCAGCACATTGTCGGACTGCGAGGACTGGATGAGCGATGTCAGAGAGTCTGTTACGCGCTGGTATGCCTGCCGAATCTGGCTTCGCAACGCGCGCAGCGTATGGGTAGCGTCATCGCGCACATCGCCCCTGTCGCCGATGCGCGACCGTATCTGCCGCGTCAGTTCGCGTATGTCAGGGATGCTCTCCGCGATGTCTGCGAGCATAGGGGCGTGTTGTCGCACGGCGAGGATGCCGCTTCTGGCGCGCGCATGCACATCGAGCGTCTGCGCGATGGCGAGCAGTTCCATACCGGTGAGGACTCCGCCGATAGAAGCCCGCACGACCGATTCGCCGATGTCGTCTGGGCTGAACATATCCACTTCGCCGGATTCGTCCAGAACGGCGCGGCCTTCGGCGGTCTCCTGCTGAAGCAACGCCACCTCGTACTCGTCGTATGAGGGTTGCAGGCTCAATGCCATCTGCCGCGCGGGGAAGTACGTGACGCGGTCAGCTACGCGCTCGCGGATGACATTGAACTCCAGCAGCGTCTGTGCCCGCGCGCGCAGGGTGCCCCTGCCGGAGATGTCGGTATCAAAGTCGATATCTGAATGCACTTGCATCCGCCTATTTTATCAGGATTCCGAATAGAAGGAGTGATGTACATGAACTCGCACGACATATTGGACTAGGAAAGGAAGAGAAGTCCGTAATGCCAATTGACGACTGCACCCATTATCGATAGAATGTTAATAACGTAGTTATTATGCTTGCTTGAGTGCAGAATGCTCAGGAGGGAATTATGGCGCGAGTACAACCGGAACCGCTGACAATCTCAATAACGCCAGATGCCGCAATACATGTGCGCCAATTTGCCACTGACTCCGGCAAGCCAGGCTGCAACTTGCGCGTTGCCGTCAAGGGCGGCGGATGCTCTGGCTTGACTTACGATCTCGATCTGGTTGACGGGCCGGGTGAAAACGACAAAGTCATTAATAGCCGTGGTCTTGAGTTGTATGTGGACAAGAAGTCCTACATCTTTCTTGCAGGCACCGAACTGGACTACTCCGGTGGTCTGAACGGCAAGGGTTTCGTCTTCAACAACCCCAACGCCAAGACTGCCTGTGGCTGCGGCACTTCCTTCAGTGTGTAGGAGTTGCTGCTAGGTGCGGTTTGAGACAAACTTGATATTCAACGGCCGCCTCTGTTTCAGGGGCGGTCTTTTTCTTTCAGGAGGATGTTGCGATGGTGCAGAGTGGAACGCTGGAAATGCAGACTGCCGTGTACTCGTCGGTGCGGGATGAGTACACCTCTGCAAGCGAGGGCGTCGGCATAACTGACCGCTCTCATCTTGGGCGGCTGAGGGTGAGCGGGGCTGACGCGATTGACCTGCTGAACCGCCTGTCAACGAACAATCTCGACGACCTCGCAATTGGGGATGTGCAGGGCACGGTGCTGACCACGAACAAAGGGCGCATCATCGACCTGCTGTACGTGCTGCGACAAGATGACCATCTGCTGGTTCTCACAGGACCTGAAACCCGTCAGCGAGTTGCCGAGTGGATAGACTTCTACACATTCGTCGAAGATGTCGTAGTCGAGGACGTAACCGAAGAAACTGCGATGCTTTCAGTGGTCGGACGCGCGGCGACGAGTTCTCTGCCCCAGCTTGCCGACATGCCGCTATACGGCTCGGCGCAAATAACGATTGATGGTGTTGATGTCCTCGCATTACGCACAGACTTCACAGGTGTGGACGGCTACGACCTGATAGGGCCGGCAGAGCAGGCACCCGCACTGTGGGACGCGCTCACGGCAACGGGCGCTGCGCCGGTAGGATCGCAAGCACTTGAACTTGTACGCATTAGCAATGGCATTGCGGGCAATGGCGGCGAGCTTGGAGAAGACTACAATCCGATAGAAGCCGGTTTAATGGACTTCATTAGCTTCAACAAGGGCTGCTACATCGGGCAAGAAGTTGTTGCTCGCCTGAATACCTACGATAAGGTGCAGAAGCATCTTGTGAGGCTGTCATGGGACGGCGATGACGCGCCCGAATTGCCTGCCGATTTGCTCCACGATGGCAGGAAGGTTGGCACGCTCACATCTGCGGTCAAAACAATTGACAGCGACAAGTTCATCGGTCTAGGCTTCGTGAGGAAGGCGCACGTCGAAGAGGGTGTGCGGCTGCTGACTGAGGATGATGTTGAAGTGGTGGTAGAGGAGACGGCGCAAACGGAACAGGAGTAGTGAAGCCAAACCGTCAGCCTACTTCTATTCTTATAAGGACAGCCGTGTACGCTGCGAGGGCAAGGTCGGCTGTGTTCGGCGTCCTGTCCGCATTCAGGCGCACATTGTGATAGACGGCGTCCTGCGGGAAACGGCGCAGGTAAGCGTCAAGCGCGGGTTGAATGCCTTTCGGGTCGTTAAAGACAGCCTCTGCTTTGCAGTTCTTCGTCTCGCCGCCTACATGCAGCGTGACGCTTGCGCCTCCTATCATGTTGCGCCACCATCGCGTTCTCTGTGAAGTGAAGCAGCGAATAGCGCCGTTGCCCCGGATGTATCGGACAGGCGTCGTGTAGGCGCGGCCGCTGCTACGCCCCGTGAAGGTAAGCAGCATGATGTTGTCGCTGAACAGGAAGTGCAGGGGAGACCTGAGCGCAAGCGCCATCAGGGGGTTGATGACTGCGAACCATTTTCTGGTGAGTCTCATGGCATGTCGCTGCTATATCCGATGTTTAGGATGTGCGGATAACCGTTAAGCCAAGAGCGTGTAGCCGCCATCCACTACAATGACCTGCCCGCGTATCATCGCCGCGTCATCAGTGCATAGGAACGCCACCACGCGCGCAATGTCGGATGCGGTGACTATACGCCCTGCCGGCGTGCTATGCCCGGCTTCCAGCATGCCCTCGCGATTTGGAAAGTAGTCCAGCGCTCCCGTCTCCACAAAGCCGCCTGATACGGCGTTTACGGAGATACCCTGCGGAGCAAGCTCTACTGCAAGGTAGCGCGTCAGAGACTCGAGCGCAGCCTTCGATGTGCCCACAGAGAAGTAGTACGGCAGCACTTTCTGCGAGCCTTGGCTGGTGATGTTGACAATACTGCCGCCATTGGGCATCAGCTTGGACGCTTCGATGGAGCACAGCCAGGGCGCCTTTGCGTTCACATTCAGCGTCCAGTCCCAGTGCTTCTCTTCAAGTTCGGACGCCGAACGCTGCACGCCTGATGCGGCATTGTTCACCAGCACATCCAGCTTGCCGAAGGTGGCGTCCACTTCCGTGAAGAGTTGGCGAATCTTGCCGGAATCTCCGAGGTGCGCCCGAACACGCAGGCAGCGCACACCGAGTGACTCAATCTCGCTCTGTGTCTCAGCAGCGGCAGACGTGGCTGCGGATGTAGTTGAAGGCGATGTCCGCTCCGCGCCTAGCAAACTCCAGGGCGATTTCCTTGCCGATGCCCCTTGAGCCGCCCGTTACCAGAACCGCCTTGCCTTTGAACGACATACTTCCATCCCTAGGTTCGACGACTCATAGTTTGTGAGACAGTATAGAAAAGCCAAATCTGAATGACTGACAGGTCGACAGGCTGAGAAACTCTATATCGCCATTCCGCCGTCAACACTGATGATCTGACCCGTTACATAGCTCGCCCTCTCGCTCGCAAGATACCCGACCATGCTGGCGATGTCCTCAGTATTGCCGAACTTGCCCTGCGGAATCCAGGTCATTATGGTGTCCTTCTGTCTTTGCGACAGCCCTGCAACCGTTTCGGTACTGATGTAGCCGGGCGTTACGGCGTTGACGGTGATGTTGCGAGTGGCGACTTCTTTGGCGAGCGACTTAGTGAAGCCGATTATGGCCGCCTTGGAAGACGAGTAGTTGGTCTGCCCGATATTGCCGCGTATGCCGACTACGGAGCCGATGTTGATTATTCTGCCCCAACGCTCGCGCACCATGTGTCGTAAGGTAGCCCGCGTGCAATAGAAAGTGCCATTGAGATTGACGCCCATGACACGATGCCACGCTTCGTCTGACATTCGCATCAGCAGGCCGTCGTTGATGATGCCCGCATTGTTGACGAGGATATTGACGCCGCCCCATTCATCGCTGACTTTGTCCACCATCGCATTGACCTGTTCCAGGTCGCTCACGTCTGCGTGAATCTTGAACGCCTCACCGCCCATGTCAGTAATAGTCTGGACCACTTGCTCAGCTTCGGACTTGGACGAATTGTAGTTGACTGCAACCTTGACGCCCATCTGGGCAAGTTCAAGACATATTGCCTTCCCAATACCCTTTGAAGCGCCGGTGACGAGAGCTGTTTTCCCGTTGATGTCCGAATTGCTCAATTTGGCTCCTGTCTATTCGTCGAATGTTCTCGCGCCCGTTCGATATATGCGGCGAATCTATGCCTTCTATGAGGGCGCTCCCTCGTGCACCCTTGCGTACACCTCCGCCATCTCCTCGTTCAGCTTTGGGACGAAGTCGATGTCGTGCATATACTTCGCAGTGCCGATAGCACGTCGCACCGCCGAGGCGTTGCCTGCCCCGTGCCCGACTATGCTGATTCCGTTGACGCCAAATATGGGCCCGCCGCCGTAAGTATGCACGATATTGTTGAGGTCGTGCAGCTCATTGCTCGCGGTATCGAGGTCGTCGCTAGAAAGTTTGCCGCTAAGGGTATCTCTCAGGTGTCCGGAAAGCGCGCGCCCAAGGCCCTCCGTAAGCTTCATAACTATATTGCCTACGAATCCATCGCAGACAACCACCTCGGCTTTGCCGGCTGCCAAGTCATCGCCCTCGACGTTGCCGATGAAATTTAGGCCGCTCTTTTTCAGCAGTTCGGTCGTTTCGCGCACCTGCCGATTACCCTTGCCAGCCTCCGCGCCCACGCTGAGCATCGCTACTCTCGGCTGCTCGACAGCCCAGAATTGGCGCGCGAACACATCGCCCATTACGGCAAAGCTAAGGAGCTGTGTCGGACGGCAATCAACATTTGTACCGAGGTCGATGATGAATGTTTTAGGCGCGACGCCAAGGATCGGGCCGCCTAGAGCAGGACGGTCAACCCCCTGCGACAGTCCGAGAACAACTGCCGCCGCCGCCATCGCCCCGCCGGTCGAACCCATTGAGACGGATGCGTCGGCGTGCCCCTGCTTCACCATCCCTGTTGCTACGAAAATGGATGCTCGAGGCTTTTGCCGCAACGCTAAGGCCGGTGGTTCGCCCTCCACCAACACACCTTCGGAAGGAATAATACTAATTGGCAATTGCTCGGTATCGTACCTTGCTAGTTCGGTTTGTACTGGCTCCGGATCGCCCACGAGCATTATCTGAACGCCGCCATGTCTTGCTGCTTCCACCGCGCCTGCCACCACATCGCCGGGGGCATTATCGCCTCCCATCGCATCGACGGCCACGCGAACCAGCGTGTCCTTTGTTGTCAAATTAATCTCTCCCGTGGCGTAAGCCACTGCACGCAATACGCACAATCGCGTCGCCGCTGATTGCCGTATCTCCATTGTCCTTGCGAACGCCAACGGTGCAAGTCAGTTCGCTGAAGCCGTCTAGTTCGTTTACTTTCTTAACATTCCCGTTTGCCGTTATGGTTTCGCCGGGATAGACAGGCCCGCGAAACCGCACCTTCAGCTTGCCACCATTAAGCCAGTCCTCACCGAATGCAACTGTGAGCATCTCGGATATAGACGCGAGTATCATCATACCATGTGCAATTGTGCCGTCGAGAGTCGAGCCACCAAACTCCACTCCGGTCGCGAAGTCCGCATCCAAATGAATGGGATTATGATCGCCTGCCGCGTCCGCGTATCGCTCGATCTGCAACTGGGTTATCTCTTTTACGATTGTGGGCAGCGCGTCACCTTGCTGCATATTTCTTACTTCCTCAGCGTATTTAGGGCATCATCTGAACAGCGTGTCGTTGCATTATGCGGGAAGCATAATTGTGCTCTTGGCTTCCATCACAACGCGGCCGCCGCTGCCGGTAGCCTCCATGTTGACGACGAGAAAGCGCCAATCACGCCGAACGGAGTTTTGCGCAAGCGTGGCGATGCAGTCCAGCGCGGCGCCGACGGGTACTGCCGAACCAAACTCAATCTCTTGGCTTGCGTGTATAGTGCCACCCGGGATTTGCAGCGCGCTGATGACGGCGCTCAGAGCGAGCGCGGCGATCGCCATTGGCGGCACGAGCGCAGTGCCGTCTTCGGCTGTCGGGTTGCTTGTGTCGTCCACTGCGGCAACGTACTTGCTTACCGCGTCGGGATCCAGTGTAAGGGATTGCTTGGAGAGTTCTTGGCCCGTCTCCAGCGTTGAGTAGTCAATCATTCGGTGGCGCTTCTCGGCCCTCAATTAGTGCTGATTTGTTCTCACGATTATAGACAGGTGAGGGCAGCAAATCAACGAAATTGCCTGCGATGTCTGGGTGGGCGGCGTGATGTGACTGAAGCCTACTTAGGCGGTAGCGATATAGCGAAATTCACTCCGCGCGCGACCCACTCGTCCAGCCCTTCCTCACTCTCTATGCCCTCGGAAGCAACAATCACGAAGCCGCGCATAGGTCTGCCGGTGAAGTCCATCGGGCGCGCGTGCGGCAAATGCAGGGAGTCCTCATATCGCTCCGCTCCAACGCGCACGATGATTTCGTCGCCCATTACGCCGCCAAGCATGTTGCCATGCGCCATAAAGCACAGCCCGCCGAACATCCTGCGTTCTACAATGCCTGTCTGCTCTCCGAGGGATTGCCTGATCCGCAGCGCGAGTTCTTCGTTGTATGCCAAGTAATGCCTCGCTTCTGCCTAATTCGGCGACACGCGTGGGATGAAGTGGCGCGGGCGCTGCATAAGGGTGATGCTCGCAGTCCTGCCGAGTTCCGCTTCGGCAGCGGCTACGGCATCCTCGACGCTTGCATAAGCCTCGAACCCCATGCGTTTCGCAGCCTCAGTGTCCCGCACACCCGCGAACATTATCCGGCTGAGGTAACGCCGTGGAATTCCAGTGCTGTTCCACATGAAGAACGGGTGCGAGCCATGGTATGCGTGTCCATATCGGTAGCCGTGGATGTACTCCGGGCGATGGGCGAACTCTTCGACATAATTCTCCCAAAGCCAGTAAGGGTCCGTGTCCTGTGTGAGCAACTTCTCGTAGAACTCCACATATGGGGCGAAGCGGCGCATGTCGAACTGCGCGGTTAGAGGGTGCGCGAGTATTGCGATCACCACCCTCTCGTACCAACGGCATCCCCTGGAACTGCGTCACAGTATTCGCCATCGCCTGATTCGCCGCCAGAATCGGATTTACGACCGAGAACTTGGAGTAGCACTCGTTCCAGTTGGCTATGCCCGCCACAAGAATGTCCGACTGCCCCTGAACATCCACCACCTGCTGCTCTTCGATTGCTGCAAGCGTGTGCGGATGAACCTCCGTCGGATGTCCGCCGTTGATAGCGATGATGTCCTTGCGCGGGTCAGCGTTGTCATACACAGACTCGATCGTGAATATGCGCCGTCCCTTCGCATCGAGAGCCTTCTCGATGAGCGCGCCCTGCTCCCACACCAGCTTCTTGAACGACGAGTTCTTGGGATCGTCAACCGACTGACCGCTTGCGATGGGCCACGGCCGGTGATGATGCCGAATGCTCTTGAATGTGCCAAGTCCGACGGCGGTTGACTTCCACCCACCGTTGAAGGGCGCCCACATCGTATTCAGATAGATGAACTGGTCGGCGTCAAGTATTGCCCGGTTGACTTCCACATCGAACCCTCGATGTGTGTATCCCAGATGAACGAGTTGCTCCGGGTCCTCAGCATCATGGCAGTACAGGTTGTTGTAGCCGAATTGAAGCACCAGCCGCCTGCCGAGGAAAACTTCCATCTCCGTGCGGCTCAGCTTGCGATGCAACCCCTGTGACAGGAGCAGTGTGATGTTGTTCAGCGCAACACCCGCCTTGCGAAGCTCCTCAACGATAACCTCGATGGCAGTCTGTCGGAAGTCCGTTCGCTGCGTCCGAAAGTATGCCCCCGACGCGTCGTCAAACGCAATGACGACCTTCGACTTGCTGTTCACCAGCTTTTGCAGAGGCTCGTGTCCGACAGGGCTGTTGATGACCTCGCGAATGCGCTCAGCGACATCAGGAATGGCGGGCAGGGGGTGCTTCCCCTCGATGACGCGAGTGCGCTCTGGCAGGGCGGCGCTTATGTAGCCGTCCCCATATGCGATCTGGTGTGTACGCGTGGTGGGCATGGGCATTTGCTCTTTCCCCACTGTGTTATGCGGCCTACCTTCTAAAGCACCGACATTTTATCCCGTGCGACTGACTGCCTCAACCTAGGCGTTATCCAGCGCAGCCCGCAGATGATCCAGCGACAGGTTGCCGCCGCTCATAACCAGCGCGACCTTCTTGCCGCGCAGCCTGTCCCTTCATTTTCAGCGCGCCGGCCAAAGACGCTGCGCCTGCATGTTCGGTCAGGTTATGCGTGTTCTCCAGATGCAGCACGATTGCCTGCTCCATCTCCTCATCCGATACCAGGATGAAGTCGTCAAGCAGGTCGCGCAGGATGCTCTGCGGCAATGCGTACCCTCTACCGGTCGCCAGTCCCTCTGCATTAGACTCCATGGGCGCATCTACAAGCTCGCCTGCCTTCCAGGACAGATACGCAGCCTGTGCGCTCTCAGCCTGCACTGCGACGACCTTGACGTCCGGGTTGACGCTCTTTGCGACGATGCAAGCCCCGGACGCGCCGCTGCCTCCGCCTAGAGGCACGATGATGTAGTCCACATCCGGCAGGTCTTCCAGAATCTCCAGCGTGTATGTGCCTACACCCGCGATTAACATCGGCTCGTTGACCGCATGCACATAGCGGTAGCCCTCTTCTTTGGACAGCCGCTGCGCGTACTCGTTGGTAAAGTCGAAGTATGGGCCGTGATGAATGACCTGCGCGCCGAGGCTCTCAATGGATGCCACCTTGCCGGCGTTCGCGCCCTCAGGCACGCACACGATGCACTTGATGCCAAGGATACCCGCCGCGTATGCGATGGACTGTCCATGATTGCCTGACGAAGCAGTGATAACACCCCGTTCCTTCTCCTCGTCCGACAGCTGCGAAAGCAGGTTTATCCCGCCGCGCATCTTGAACGCGCCCAAACGCTGGTGGTTCTCGTGCTTCACCCAGACTTCGGCATCCAGCAGCTTATCGAGCGAAAGGTAGTGGTGCAGGGGAGTGCGCCACACATAAGGCGCAATGCGTCCCCGCGCCCGAATCACATCGTGCAAAGTCGGTCTATTCCACAAGGTGAGGTCTCCTGTCTGAAAATTGGAAAAGTATGGTTAAAACGGAGGCTTGAAGCCGTCCTTGCCTTCGCCCAAGTCCGGCAGATTGTCAAGCAAGACTTCAAAAACCCGCTGGTAGTGCTCCATGTATGTGTCTTGGAACGATGAGCGTTCGCACCCTAGTTTCTCAGCCATCAGGTCGAAAGCCCCTTCACGGGTGCTTGCGACGAACTTGCCACGTGAAAAGTGGAACGGCTGGGCGATGAACTTCTCTACGCCTGTTTCTAAAAGATTGTTGACGAAAGCGTAGGGCTGACTTACCAGAAGCAGCGGGCGTCATCGTGATGCAGGTCTCAACCCCTGCATCCTGCACTTCGCTTATTGCCTTCAGCCGCACCGTATTGGACGGGCAGAACGGCTCGAACGTGCGCCGTACATCCTCATCGTCGGTGGTAACGGTCATATTCACCTGTACGCGGCCACCGTTGGCTTCTATCTGCTGGTATAGGTCAATGTCGCGCACGACATCCGGGCTGCGCGTCTGGACTACAAGCTTCGGCTTGTGTCGTTCAGCCATGATTTCCAGCACTCTGCGAGTCAGGTTCAATTCGCGCTCAACCGGCTGGTATGGATCTGTGACGCTGCTCATGTAAATTAGCTTGCCCATCCACAGCCAAACTCCTGCCCTATTCCATCAACTCGGCTGCGTTCTCTTTAACACTGACCCATTTACCCCAAGTGTCGCGCCATTGCTTTGTCCTGCTGAAGAACGCCGCGTAGCAGTATGTACAGCCGAAAGAGCAGCCGCTATATGGATTAAGCGTGAAGTCATAAGCGTCCATAAACCCCGTAGCGCGAGTCAGCACTTCGCGGGCAGCCTTATATTCGACGGCGGTTTCGCCGATGCGAGAGGGGGGCGCATTCGGAGGCGGCACTGTGGCAACGCTGTCGAATAGTGTGGGTTGGGCGGGTTTAGCAGTCATAAATATCACCACGGCAAATCATCGGCGTCCATCGGTATAGGCCCTTTGGTGTGAATCTTAAATGCTGCTTCAGGCCATTCCCAAGTAACATTGCGTTCCAAAAAACGATGGTTTATCTGAAGCGTAGAGTTGAGACTCTTTCTCCATCGTGTGATTTCAGACAATACACCTCTGAATTGAGGAGTAATTGTGAGAGGCGGTAGGTAGTATTCGTCATAATCCATAAACCCCCATGCTTCTTGTAGAGTGCCTTTGGAAAAAGGCGGGGGTGCCAAAGCATACGTGGGGGCGGGAATTTGAACAAGAACAGTAACCAATGCTGGATATCGGCCGGGAAAAACTCTCTCGCTGCTGGGCGCAGGCCGGACCCACGTTCACTATCCCAAGCTGTTGCCCAAGCGGGGGGCGACCAATGTCAAATGACACCAAGGGACGGCGCAGGGAATGACCCGTGCGTGCGTAATTCCCTTTATCCATAGTCCCGCGCTCTCTTGCCCTTGCGTCCTCCCTCGCGCCCTCCCGTCGCAGCGTGAACGCGCCCAGATCGGGGCACCATGGCGGGCATATCTCGACTCGAGTCAAACGAGTCTATCCTTATCTCTGATATTGGTTGCATCTGCTTCCAAGCATCTCTGCCCTGCTAACGCGACTCCGAACTGCATCGCCAACGCACCGCACCCGAAGTCAACAACGTAGAGTTTTTCACTCACTCCCGTTAGGGATTTAATCATGCTATAAGCAAGGTTTATCTGGGATGGCTGGTACCAATGATAAAACAGTGAAATCCATTCATCGTAGCCGGGCATATCACCTGACTGTAGGCTGCCAAGGGCGTTCAGTGCGTCCGCAACATTGTCTGATATGTGGTCAGGTTCCAGGTAATATGCCAAGCGGTTATATTCGCGCATAGCTACGGTCGTAAGCGCATTATCAAGAGCGTTGGCTACAACTTGCTTCGTCTGCTTGTCCATATAGCTGTTACTCTCCGCACCATGAGAGATTTGCGAGCATTATAGCACAAATGAACGTACTAGTTCACTCCCGAAACGCCACCTGTGCCGCCCGTGATATTATATGAAGCACGGCTAAATTGCCCTTAACACCTGATTGCTTACGGCTTTTCCATGACATATCTTCGATGTTGACTATACCATTATGGGCGCTGACGGCAGCCTGCGCCAGAACACGGCGGAGACTTTCAGCAAGCTCGTCTCTGACGGGCACAAGGTCTTCATCTGGTCGGGCGTGGGCGTGCGCACGGCAGAGGTGCGGCGCTTTGGACTCGCGGATTATGTGACGAAGGTCTTCCAGAAGCCGCTTGAGGACTTTGATACGGCGCTACCCGGACTTGGCGTCTTCACGCCTCCCGACTTCATTATTGACGACCATCCTGAAATAGTGCGCTACTTTGGCGGCTTCATTTGCAGGCCGTATTATTTCCGCAATAGGCAGGACTCCGAGATGGACGAAATATATCAGACTGTCTGCGATGTTGTGGAGACCGGAAGCTCTGGCCACACGGCATACCGCATTGGAAGGAATCGCACGCAGGACGAAGGCTGATGCCGATACGACTGCTTTCTGACAAAGTGTCATCCATGATCGCGGCGGGCGAGGTCATAGAACGTCCTGCGTCGGTTGTGAAGGAACTCGTTGAGAACGCTCTGGACGCAGGGGCCACCGAAATCTCGGTCGAGATTCGCGGCGGCGGTGTGGAGCAGATTCGCGTCGCCGACAACGGATACGGTATCCCCCACGACGAGGTTGAGTTGGCGTTTCAGCGCTTCGCCACCAGCAAACTCAGCGACGCCTCTGACTTGGACGCCATCCCAACTCTCGGCTTCAGGGGCGAGGCGCTTCCGAGCATCGCCTCTGTCGCGCGCCTGTCGGTGGTCACGAGGCACGCCGATGACGACTCAGGGACGCGGCTGGAAATTACGGAGGGGCGCATTGTTGACAGGCAGCGGCAGGGCGCGTCCCCAGGCACCGCAATGACGGTGCGCCAACTCTTCCGCAATGTGCCCGCCCGCCGCAAGTTCCTGCGGACCACCGCTACTGAGACATCCCACATACAGAACATGGTCACGCGCTATGCGCTCGCCTACCCGGAGGTGCGGTTCGCCCTGGACACGGGTAATTCGTCGCTTCTCACGCCCGGCTCCGGCAGCCTGCGCGAGGCGATCGCCGCCATACACGGCCTTAATGTCGCGGAGAATATGTTGGACATCTCTGTTGTTGATGAACGCTCAGGGCAAAGCACCGTCGGCGGCGTGATAAGCCAGCCCGCGCTCAGCAGGGCGAACCGCGGTTACATGAGCTTCTTCGTCAACCGTCGCTGGGTGCAAAGCCGCATGCTCGGCTATGCTCTGGAACAGGCTTATCACGGTTTCCTGAAGGAGCGGCGCTACCCTCTGGCTGTGGTCAACATAACCATCGATTACGATCAGGTGGATGTGAATGTACACCCATCCAAGACAGAGGTGCGCTTTCGCAGCGGTGACCGTGTATTCTCCGCCATCCAGCAGGCTGTGCGACAAACGCTCACCGCTCACTCGCCGGTGCCGGAGATACGCCGCGCCGGGGCTACCCATCCCGCATATTCGCCTGCATCCCGCCAACCTAGCCGCTACTTCTGGCCGATAGAGCCATTCCAGCCCTCGCCGGCCCCAAATGCTGAACGCACCGGCGAGCTTATTCCGAATGAGCAGGACGCGGCGTCACCTACGTCGAACGGCGATGGCGGCTTCACGCACAAGGAGACACTACCCGTACTGCGCGTGCTCGGGCAGGTGCAGAGCACATATATCGCCGCTGAAGGCCCGGACGGCATGTATCTCATTGACCAGCACGCGGCGCACGAGCGCGTGCTGTTCGAGCAAATCAAGGCTGACGCCGCCACCAGCGCGCCGCAGTCACAAAGCCTGTTGGAGCCTCTTACTATTGAGCTTAACCCTCGGCAACAGGAACTGGCACACGCACACCAGCATCTGTTCAGCAGTCTCGGGCTGCTGATAGAGCCTTTCGGCGGGGATGTCTATATATTGCGCGGCGTGCCCAGCATCCTCGTGGAAGTTGACCCAGTGAGGGCATTCATAGATATGCTGGACGAGATGGCGCAGGGCGGAGACGTTGAATCCTGGAGCGATCGCGCTGCCTATTCGCTGGCGTGCCACGCTGCCATACGTGCAGGCAAAGTCCTGACCCACGGGGAGATGACCGCCCTGACGCGGCAACTGGAGCAGTGCCAGCAGCCACACACCTGCCCGCACGGACGCCCCACGATAATCCACCTGAGCGGAAGCCTCCTTGAGCGTGAGTTTGGCAGGCGCTAACCCGCACGACCATTTGACGAAAGGACACGGCATGAAATTCGGAATCTTCCTCGGAGTGCAGATCTCGCCCGAAGAGTCTCTGGCGCAGCAGATTGAGGACAGCGCAGAGCAGGTGCGAGCGGCGCGTGATGCAGGATTCGATCTCATCTGCACCGGGCAGCACTTCCTCTCCGCGCCCTACGCGCAGCCCGCGACGCTCCCGTTTCTGGCGCGCATGGCTGCCGACGCTGGCGACATGGAGATTGCCGCGGCCGTCATCCTCGTTCCTCTTCACAACCCCGTCGATGTCGCCGAGAGCGTGGCGACTATGGACGCAATCTGCAACGGACGCTTCATATTCGGCGTCGGAATTGGCTACCGTGACGAGGAGTTCGCCGCCTTTGGCATCAAGTCGAACGAGCGCGTCCCACGGCTTCGCGAATCCTTGGAACTGATGAAGATGCTCTGGACAGAGGATGAAGTCGAATACAACGGCAAGTATTATCAACTTCCCGAAGGTAAAGCCCGTGACTCGCCCCGTACAAAAGCCTCACCCGCCTATATGGGTAGCAGCCAACAACGATGTAGCCATTCGCCGCGCCGCGCGTTGGGGCTATTCGTGGTTCATCAACCCACACGCAACAATGTCCACAATTGCCCGCCAGATTTCCGTGTACAACGCAGAAATCAGCAGGGTAGGGCAGATTGCGCCCGATGCCATGCCGATGTTCCGCGAAATGTATGTCGCCGAGGACAGGGCAACGGCTCTCGCCGAGAGCCGCCCGTATTTGCAAGGCAAGTACGCAGCCTACGCCTCATGGGGACAGGACAAGGCGCTGCCGGGCGAGGAAAGCTTTAATGTGCCGTATGAAGACTTGGCGCGCGATCGCTTTCTGATTGGCTCGCCCGACGACATCGTTGAGGAGATACGTCGCTACCAGAACGACTTGGGCGCGAACTACATCATATTCCGCATGCAGTGGCCCGGCTTGCCGCAAGAGAAAGTGTTGAAGCAGTTGGCGCTGCTACGCGAAGAAGTCATTCCCAGGATAAAGGGCCTAGGATAAGGGAATCATAGGCGCAGGGCCGCGTCAGAACTGCGCCACCTCCACCGAGTTTATCGGCGGCAAGTTGTCTATCAGCAACTCCCAGATGTCGCCCTCATCGCGACTGTAGAATATCTGCCCGTTCGTCGTGCCAACATAGACGCCGCACGGATCCAGATTGTCTGTTGCCATGCCCTCGCGCATGCTGTGCAGGTAGGCGTTCTTCTGCGGCAGACCATTCGTCAGAGCCTCCCCGTCTCCGCCGCCGTTGCGACTGCGAAACACTCGGAACTTGTTTCCGCTCACGATACGGAACTCGCCGCCTACTTCGTCGTCTGCGATGGCATTGTCTTCCGGCAACACATACAGCCTATTCGGGTCATGCGGGTGCAGCCCAAGCGCAAGCCCGAAGCGCGAAGGCAGTCCATCCGTAATGTCGATCCAGACCTTGCCTCCATCGTCGCTGCGATATGTCCCACAGTGGTTCTGCTGATAGAGAAGCCCGTCCTTCTGGGGATGTCCCAGCAGCTTGTGTGGACACTGTCCGAATTCCAAGTCCACCTCATCAGGAATGAAGTCGGCGCGCACTCCTTATTCAACGGCTTCCAGCTCTCGCCGCCGTCACTCGTGCCGTAAACCCCTGCAGCCGAAATGCCTACCCACATACGCGCCGGGTTGAGCTCGTCAAGCGCCATGCTGTGTAGGCATAGGCCGCCCATGCCCGGAAACCAGTGTTTGCTCGTGGGATGGTCGGCGACGCTGCGTATCTCCTGCCAGTTCATGCCGCCGTCATCACTCATGAACAGCGAGGCGGGATCCGCACCTGCATAAAGCACATCGGGTTCGCTGGCCCTGCCCGGCTCGACGTGCCAAATCTTGTTGAGCGTCTTTCCGTCCCTATCCGTGAACTTAGGCGGCGTCTCGGCAGTCGTCCAAGTCTCACCTAGGTCGTGGCTGATGTGGATTTCCGCGCCCCAAATCGTGTAGTTGACCGCGGAATAAACGGTGCTGCCGTTGCGCCCGTCATACGCTATATGGTACACATCCCCGCCGCGGCAGTGAACTTCGGACAGCTCCCAGTGTTTTCGCTCCGCGCCGCCAGACAGCACGAACCCGCCCTTGCGAGTTCCCACCAACAACGCGATTTCGAATCTGCCGAGACCGTTGGTTTGCGTCATCATCTAACCTCGCTGCAACACAGCCCTGCTTCTGTTCAAACATGTATAACGATTGCAAAACGAAAGCGGTGTTGCAGTCAAGAAGAATGACGGCACAAATTGCCTCTATCCGATTGGCGCACCTGCCGTATAGACTTCGTGGGAATAGGCGACTATCGAAGGGTCGGGGGCGTAGGCTACCGTCGGATCCTTGCCCTCGTAGTCCATGATGTTGAGCACATGGCGCATGGCGTTGATCCTGGCGCGCTTCTTGTCGTCGGACTTGATGATACTCCAGGGAGCCACCTCGAAGTTGGTCAGAAGGAACATAGCCTCCTTCGCCTCGGTGTACTCCCGCCACTTGTCTTTCGAGAGTATGTCTATCGGACTGACCTTCCACTGCTTAAGCGGGTCCTTGGCGCGTTTCTCGAATCTTCTGAGCTGTTCCTTCTGGCTCACAGAGAAGTAGAGTTTTATGAGGTGGATGCCGCTGTCAACTATCATCCTCTCCAGCATCGGCACATGCCGCATGAACAGCCTGTACTCAGGGTCGGTGGAGAAGCCCATCACCCGCTCGACGCCCGCGCGGTTATACCATGAACGGTCAAAGAGGACAATCTCGCCTGCGGTCGGAAAGTTTCGGATGTATCGCTGGAAGTACCACTGCCCCAACTCCACATCCGATGGCTTGTCCAGCGCGACCACACGGGCGGTGCGAGGGTTCCAGTGCTCCATAAAGCGCGTTATCGCGCCGCCCTTGCCCGCGGCGTCGCGCCCCTCGAATAGGATAATCGCCCGCTCGCCGGAGTCGCGCATCCAGTTCTGCAGCTTAATCAGTTCTATCTGAAGCGGTAGCTTGTGTTCGTAGTATTCTCTGGAGCGCATCCGCGCGGCGTAGGGATAGATGTTCTCCCTAAAGTATCTGGAGCGTATATGCGGCGCTATGTCCAACGGGTCGTCCAGCGGCTCGGCGTCCGGGATAGGCTCACGGGAGGGCTTTATATCCGCCTCGCTCACGCCGACGGGCGCACTCCGATTGGGGGCTTCATATATGGTCGTCAGACTCTTCTCTATCACAAGTTTCACCCCCGTCGGGCTCAGAGTGGCATATCGATATGGCTATATTCGCACTAGAATAAGTTGAATGCGAATGAAAAGCAAGGGAAGGGGTGCGAGTGCTACCAGTTTAGCAAGCCCGGTTTCTGCGCTCGCCATCCTTCATCGGATGGGAACACGGTGTTCATCGGAATCGCCTGAATGTCGCCGTCGAACCAGTCCTGCACCGTCTCGCGCCACTTCTTGTAGTGCGGCGCGTTGCGATGCGCGTCCATGTGCGCCTCTCCGTCCGCATAGACTTCATACAGGTAGAAGGTGTTGGGGTCGCTCTTGTCTTCCAGGATGTCGAAGCGGAAGCAGCCCGGTTCGTCTCGCACAGAACCTTGGCTGTCCCCAAAACTCGCCTCTCTGAACTGATCGGCGAACCCCGGCTTAATCTTGATGGTTACGAATATCGCGTGCATTTGTCTCTCCTTGCGTTGGTGCTTAATGATGGGCCCTCGTAACTGTTAGGGTGCGTTCTCCCTGAACAAGTGGCATTATATTTGCGCCGACAAATCGGTTCAAGGTCAGCGTAGCCTATGTGAACCGAGGCATGACTTCTTCGGCGAACAGGCGCATGCTGCTTTCGGTCGCCTCCCACGACATATCGCCGATCCTGAACTGGATCATCACCCCACCTACGCCCGCATCTTCGAGCGCAGCCACTGTCTCCGCAATCGTATCCGGGGAGCCATAGACTAGGTCGTCCTCGGGGACCGGCATCGGAATTGGCATGAATCGCTTCAACCGCTGCCCGCTCGGGGGCGGTGTTCATTCTGACGCGACCACCGTTGAGATGCTTCATGCTGTCTGCGTATGATGGTTGCGCGAGTTCAGACGCCTTCGCGTCCGTTTCGGCTACCACGGCACTGAACTGAATCCAGCAGTTGGAAGTACTGCTCGCAATTACCTCATCGTCGTAGCCCGCGTCCGACATTGCGCTGCGATACAGGTCGAACATGTGGCGGATTCTATCCCCGGGCTGGTACGACAGCATGAAAGGCCTGCCTTGTCCTGCCATCTGCAGCAGCGAGTTCTCGGTCGCGATCGCGCGTATCAATGGCGGATGCGGACTCTGGAGGACATTTGGCGAAGTCTCGGGACCTCCACATTCCAGTGCTTGCCCCTGTGATGAAACGATTCGCCAGACCACGCTTTAACGAGTATCTGCTCTGCCTCCAACAGTCGCTCTTGCGCTTCATCGTACTTCACGCCATACCCGCGATACTCATAGCGATTGAACGCTGAACCTCTTGCCGTGCCGACCATAATGCGCCCGCCGCTCAAATTGTCCAGCAGGGCGATCTGCTCCGCGAGCCTGACCGGATGATGGAACGCCGTCTGCACCGCCGAGAAGCCGACACGCACCTGCTTGGTGCGGGCGACCACAGCGCCTCCGAATGTCATCGGGTCCGCGTAGGTACAGACACCGTCGAAGTGGTGTTCCCCTAGCCAGACAGAATGGTATCCCAGACTGTCCGCAAGCTCCGTCTCCGCCAATGCGTCGTTGACCACTTGGTAGTCCGTTTCAGGCGTCCTGCTCTCCGGGAAAAGAAAGTCTCCGAACTTCATGTAGTAGCCTCCTACTGAGTCGGTGGTCGTCTAATAATGGCATAACTGACTATTCGTCAATTGCCGTCTCGCTGACCTGCTGCCTTACAAAGGCGCGCACCAACCTTATCTCTTCGTATGAGTAATCGTGGCCCAGTAATTCCCTAACTGGCGCAATCCTAGTGTAGCCTAATCGACTGAAGGCGTCCTCGATGTGCTTCACGCGCTCGCCCGCAGGCAGGTGTGCGCGCAAGTCAAGTGCTTCCCCACTTTGAACGAGCATCTCGATGTGCGAGACTATCGTGTTCGCAGTCAACTCTCGTTCTTGCGCGACTTCGTGTACGGTCTTGCTTTGGTCCAGCAGGTGCTTTGTCGTCTCATGGGTAGCAGTTCGCCTTCCCTTGCGGCTCGTTTCGCTGCTTCGCTGTCTAATGCGGCCACTCCCTGTGTCAGTACGGTCGGCGAGATTATTCTCCCGCGCATACTCGCAGATGACTGCCAGAAATTCATCGCCGTACTGCTTCAACTTAACCGCGCCCACTCCCGATATATGCGACAGGCTGTTCAGGTTCTGCGGCATGTAGTGCGCCATCTGCTGCAGTGTTGCGTCCCCGAACACGATATAAGGCGGCACGCCGTTTTCTGCAGCGATACTTCTGCGGAGCTCACGTAACTCTTCGAACAGCTTGCCGTCGTACTCAATCGCGCCGCGAGAGCTTGACGATGCGCTTTCAGACTCTTGCTCAAATTTCTTGGGTCTGGTAAGTATGAGCTGCTCTCTGCTTCTGAGAAAATCTCGCCCTTCTGCCGTTACCCCCAGCGTGGCGTACTCGCCGCTGTTCTTATGCAAAAGCCCTTTGTCGAGCAGCATGCCGCAGATTTCTCTGATGTCCCCGTCCGCGAAGTCGTCAACGATGCCGTACACGCTCAGCTTGTCATGCCCAAGCCTGAGAACGCGTTCCACCTTGGAGCCACGCAGTACCTGTGCAATGTAACCTGCTCCAAACCGCTCCCCCGTGCGAACAACGGCGGACAGTATCTTTTGCGAAATGACCGTCGCGTCAAAATCCTCCAGCTCGGCGAGGCACACATCGCAGCCGCCGCAGTTGTACGATCCTGCATCCGCGCCGCTGGCCAGCGAGTCATCTCCGAAATACTCCAGCAGGTACTTGCGGCGACATCTTCGCAACTCGCAGAACTCAATAACCTGCGCCAACTTCGCCTGTGCACTCTGACGCTCTGCCTCGTCATTGATCTGGTTTATGAAGAAGTCCTGCTTTATCTTATCGCCATAAGAATAGAACAGCACACAGTCGCTCGGCAATCCGTCTCGGCCTGCGCGCCCCGTCTGCTGATAGTATGCCTCTAGTGACTTCGGCAGTTCCTGGTGAACCACAAGACGCACATCCGGCTTGTCAATGCCCATCCCGAATGCGATGGTCGCCACGATAATATCTGTCTCGTCGCGTATGAAACCTTCCTGATTCCTGCCCCGTGTCTCGCCATCCATCCCCGCATGGTACGGCAGCGCCTTGAAGCCCTCGTCCCGCAGCCTGTCCGCCAATTCCTCTGTATCTTTACGCGAGAAGCAGTAGATGATTGCCGACTCGCCCTTGCGCGCTCTCAGAAGTTGGACAAGCTGTTCGAATGCTCGCTGTTTAGGTCGCACCTCATATCGGAGGTTGGGACGATCGAAGCTGGCTATGAACTGCTGAGGCTCCTTCAGGCCGAGCTGCGAAACGATGTCGTGGCGCACTCGCTCAGTAGCCGTCGCCGTCAGCGCGATGAACGGCACGGCTGGCATGCTGCGCCGCAGGTCGCCCAACGTCCGATAGTCAGGGCGGAAGTCATGACCCCACTCCGATATGCAGTGCGCCTCATCCACCGCCACAAGGCTCACATCCAGCGCCTTCAGAAAACCCCTGAAGTCTGGCAGAGCCAATCGCTCCGGTGCCAGATAAAGGATCTTGAGGTCGCCGCGCTGTGCTCGCTCCTGCACACGCATTATCTCGGCGTATGTCAGCGTGCTGTTGACGAGTTCGGCTGCGATACCGTTTGCCTTAAGCGCATCCACCTGGTCTTTCATCAGCGAAATAAGCGGCGATACCACTAGCGTTATGCCATCGAGCCGCAACGCCGGAAGCTGGTAGCAAAGCGACTTGCCGCCGCCCGTAGGCATAATCACCAGCGCATCTCTCTTTTGCATCACGCTGCCAATTATCTCTTCCTGAAGAGGGCGGAAAGTGTCGTATCCGAAGTATCTCTTGAGAAGTTCTTTCATTTTTGTTCTATGCTTTAGGTGATTTTGTGCGGAAGGTGTCTCGAGGCAAGTATGCGACTTCAATTGATGATACTATAATAGGCAGTCAATCTCGCACAAACCACTTGTGAATTGAGATACAATAAGACTGACGGAACCTGCGCATCCCATCCCACTGCTTTGGAGGCGAAAATATGGCTCTGCTGCTCAACAGAGAAACGATTCGAGGACTGCTCACGATGAGCGATACGATGGCGCTGCTGGAGCGCGCATTCGGAGAGCTCGCGTCAGGCGACGCCGTAATGCCGGCGCGCACCGTCCTCGCCGATCCTGCCAACAACGGGTGGTACGCATTTATGCCCGCCCACCTGAAAGGCATGGGCACAATCGGAATCAAGGCGGTCACCGTCTTCAAGGATAATCCCGCCAAGTTCAACATGCCCAGCACGCTGGCGTCCATCATTCTACTGGATGTCCAGACGGGCAACACAATCTCCGTCATGGACGGAGGCTTCATCACCGCAATGCGAACCGGCGGCGTGTCCGGCCTCGCAACAAATACCTCGCTCGCGCAGATGCCAAGGTTGCAGGCGTACTCGGTATGGGCGTTCAGGCGCGCGCGCAGTGCGAAGGAATGGCAACCGCGCGCAATCTCGACAGCATCCTATGCTTCTCGATGGACCCTCCCGAAGCTCAGCAGCAGTTCGCCAGTGACATATCTGAACAAACCGGTGTCAGCGTCAGGTTAGCAGGCAGTGTCCAAGAAGTTGTCGAGAGCGTGGACGTACTCGCACTTGCCACCACTGCCGCGACTCCCATCGTTGACGGCTCATGGCTTCCCGCAGGCCTGCACATCAACGCTATCGGTTCGCATGCCCCCGGTGTCCGCGAACTCGACACTGCCAGCGTCGTCAAGTCCAAGATAATATGCGATCAGACTGCGGCGTGCCTTGCTGAGGCTGGTGACATCCAGATTCCGCTTGAAGAGGGTGCGATGTCTGAGGACGACATCTACGGCGAAATGGGAGAACTTGTGACCGGAACGAAGCAGGGCAGGGAGAGCGACGACGAGATTACTCTATTCAAAAGCGTCGGCCTGTCCATTCAGGACATCTCGACCGCATACCACGTCTATCAGCAGGCGGTTGAGAAGGGCGTTGGTACAGAGTTCATTTTCTAGGAAGAACTTGTCCCACGCATATATTGGTTGTCTAAGTTTCGTATTATAATATAAGTAATAATCTTGCAAGCCACAGTCAAAATGAGCCAGGAATGCCGTGATAGACTTCAACCTGTTCTTAGGAGTAATCGTAGCCACACTGATCGCCTACCTGCTAGGCGCGCTCCCGATCGCTGCGTGGATAAGCAGGCGCAGTGGGATCGATATTTTCAGTGTGGGCACGGGACTTCCGGGCGCGTCAAACGTCCGCAGGAGCGTCGGCAATATTCCCGGTGGCTTGGTGCTGATTGGCGATTTGGCGAAGGGAGCTATAGCTATAGTCGCGGCGCGTCAGATGCAGGTCGAAGGGCTGTGGCTGATATTGCCCTGCTTCGCCATGGTCATCGGACACTGGAGGTCGATATTCACAGGCTTCAAGGGAGGAGACGGGCTTGCCCCTCTTGGCGGCGCGATCCTCGTGATGTTTCCGCCGTTCAACGGCTTCCTCGCCGTGTTTATCGGTTCTATCGTGACTCTTGGCGGACAGAAACTGCCGTACACATCGCTGCTCGGCCTTGTTGCTGGCATCGGGGCCTTGCTCTGGCTGAGCCGATACTATCCCTCCAACCCGAATGATCTAGCGCTCTCCGCTGGAGTCGCCATTATCGCGGTGCTCGTGCTGCTACACGCCTCGGTCGGCCATCGCAGGCGCAATTCAAGTGCGGACTGGAGCAACTTGGACGACGGAGAAGGCGCAACCGAATAGCCCCCGACCCCTAGAGTCTCTTAATTGCCTTCAGGGATTGGGCATATCTGCTGTCTATCCTACCGAAACGCTCGTGGTTGTTCGCAGCACTCCGTCCAAGTGGTGGATCTGCTCGGTAATCAGTTCATGCACCTTGTTCAGGTCTTCCTCTTGCACGACCGCGATGACGTCGTAAGGTCCGGTGACGCGAGACGCGCTCACGACGCTTGCGTTACGATTCAAGGCATTCGTAAGACCCTGTGAAGCCCCAACTTTCGCCTCTATCAGTACATACGCCTTTACCATCTCTTCCCTCCTGTTCCTTCTATGCTTCAATGGGACTGCGAAGCATACACTCTTGGCAGGCATTTGTCAGTATTCAGTCTTCCGGAAAGTCGCCACTTTCTTCAATTGGCAAGGACTTGTGTGACCAACTTGCCGGGCCGCATCCTTCTGCCGCATCGTTCGCTAGACATTCCTGGATGTTGACTACCAGTTCGTGAACGAGCCATCGTTGCGGCGTAACTGCGGCGGCCATCCGGTAGGATCCACAACACGCGCTTGCACCGCCTCTTCGTCGAAGTCAACGCCAAGTCCCACGGCGCCTGACGGCACAAAACTATAGCCGTCCTCCCAGTCAATCTGCTGCGGAAACAGGTCGGTCGCATAGCTTCCCGGACGCCTCGGCATCTCCTGCACCCCTACATTTGTTGACGCCATACATAGATTCACGCAAGCCGCCGCGCTCACCGGCCCCAGTGGGTTGTGCGGCACGATGTCTATGTAGTGCGTCTCCGCCCAGTGCGTAATCTTCAGCGCCTCCGTCAGCCCGCCCACTATGCACAAGTCTATGCGCGCGTAGCTGATGAGTTCCTCTTCGATCACCTCGCGGAAGGGCCACTTGCTCGCCCACTGCTCTCCCGCCGCAATCGGCAGCGACACATGGCGCGCCAGCGTGCGATAACTCGCCGTATTCTCCGACCGCAGCGGGTCCTCAATGAAGAACGGGCGATATGGTTCCAGCGCCTTGCAAAGCTGGATGGCGTGCGCAGTGTCCAGCCGCGTATGCACATCGAAGCAGAGCTGTATGTCGGGTCCGACAGCATCGCGCACCAGCGCCATCTGCTCTTCCGCGATACGCATCGACTCCACCGGCTCCAGCAGTCCGTCCATCCCTTGGTACTCGAAGACGCCTCCCGTCTCAGGCTGTCCCCAGCGCACGAACTTCCAGCCATCCGCAACCGCCCGCTTGCTGTTCTCCACAAGTTCTTCTGTCGTGCCCCCCTGCGTATGTGGATACGACACCACCTTGTCGCGCACCGGCCCGCCCAGCAGCTTATAGACCGGCATCTTCAGTGCCTTGCCCTTAATGTCCCACAGTGCAATGTCTATCGCGCTAATGGCGCAGCAATACACCTTGTCCGCCGGAAAGAACCCGCCGCGAAACATGTGCTGCCACAGCCGTTCCGTGCTGAACGGGTCCTGCCCGATTACAAACTCGGACAGGTGCTCAATTGCGCTTGCGACCGCATTTCCCCATCGCGGTATCCCGACTTCGCCCAGCCCATAGATGCCTTCGTCCGTCTCCACTTTCGCGATAAAATACAGCTTCCCCTCATCATCCGTGCAAGCGTAGCTCTTGATGCCCGTAACCTTCATTACCACAAGCCTCCCTGATACCGTATGGCCGCCGCCAATACGATAGCGGAGTCTATGAAGTCGGTCAAGCG